CCAGCAGGAATGAAGACATATAGAAGCCAGAAAGCAATTCAGCTGAATTTCCAAAAGGAGAAAAGTAAGGGCTTTACACTCTCTTACCACTCACTGCTGCTGTCATTTCCCTATCTTCTGACCATAACTCTATGGGGAGGGACTATGTCCCATGTTCAATCATTGGCATTTCTAGTTAAAAGGCTCTTGGGTAACTGGTGATGGAAATTCATATTGTGAGGATTACACTTCCCAGCTCCCACTGCCACTGAAGTCAGCAGTTTTTACATTATGCACTGGTATCGTAAGATAGCATGGGTTGGGTTTTTGAGCGGAAATGAGGAGAGGGTGTCAAAGAGGGAACACAACTAATAACTATGCCCAGGGCTCCACTTGCACAACCATGATTCACATTTCAATACAAAGCTCTACAAAATTATTCCGCTATTGTAGTAGTTTGTGCAGTTATTAGAATCCAGAAAGCCAGATATGCCCATCACAAAAGCGCAAAGGGAAAAGCTATAAACTGACTGCAGATTAGATCCACAGATCATGCAATTTCCAAGGCAATGCACAAAACCCCTAGTATCCAGGTGCTTATGTAAGAACTCTACATCCATGACTTTTTGAAAATGTTAAGCGTGAATGTGACAAACAGCTGCATCATGCAGATACACTAATCAGAGAGAATACATGAATTTGTTACTTTGAACCTGTTTCAGAGACATAATATAAATCTGAATACACCTAATCTCTGCATATGGTCTTCCAATTGCTTGACAACCCTCCTGTTTTTGTACTCCCAAACAAGCAGCGAAAACAAGTCTTCGCAGTCCCTGGTGTGCTCTTGGGCTTTATTCAGTGCAGGGATTTACAAGTTGTAGACACATGGCCCTGGCACAGGGCATACTTTTATCTTTAAACCAGATTAGGACAGGACAGTCATCCAAACAGAACTCCTTCAAACAAAGGACTGTTGTCTGATAGCTCTTCAAGGAAAAGATTGCCCTCTGTAAAGCAAGACGTATGGTCACTCTATTTCTGAATACCAGAAATACTACTAATACTGCTTTTGGGGTAAGATGCTTGAGAGGGTGATGGCAGTCCAGTTGCAGACACTCTTGGAAGAAACTGATTATCTTGACCCATTTCATTTTGGGTTCAGGCTCAGTTTGGGACAGAATCTGTCTTGGTCACCCTGATAGAGGTCCTTATTCAGAAGGACAGAGGGGAAGTGTGACCCTGTTGCTTTTTCTTGATCTCTCAGATGCTTTTGATACTATTGAGAACAATATTCTCCTGGATAGCTGCACCGGGTTCTGCCTAACATGGGGGGGGGGGCGTATGCGTGGTGGTTACCCAGATCTATGCCCTCAAACACGCCAGGAGCCCAATATGTTCACAATTCCACCAAGAATTCATAGTTGTGTCAACTTATGCTACTGAAGTGGGCTCCCTTCACAGAGGAACTATGCACACACATGTACACACATTTCAATAGGGTTGGAGCCATGCATGAGTTAATACCAGTGAAAAGAAGGAGAGGAAATTAAAAGTGAAAAGTTGAAAGCCTAGCACATGACTCTTCCTCTATCACATCTGTGAATCCTGGAGCGTGAGAGTAATTGTCTGAAATGAGTCAGACCAAAGGCACAAGGAAACAGTTGCTATAGCAACCCCCCTCGCTGCTCTAATTCTGCGTAGAATTAAAACGTTATCAAATGATTTAGGAGAAAAGGGGGGCAGCTCAAAATCTATGGGCACCCCTCTCAAAATGTCCTGCGGTGTTGTGAGCCTCCTCTAGGACAAAGCCACGGGCTCTTTTCCCTTCAAGCACAACAGCAGAAGTAATGCAAAGACAAACCAGTAAGGAGAGCATTGGATAAATAACTCTGAGCTCAACAGCGTCAGCTGTATAAGAGATTAAACCAACTCCTCGGCTGCAATTTCAAATCTGGAATGGGATTCAAGCCAGCAGATCGGAGATGTGGAATATTTCCTTGGGAAATCCACAAGTATCAGCAAGGCATTTCCAGTAAAACTCTCACACTGGCACAACCCCATCCCAGGTGAGCTCAAAGCACAGGAATGAGGCACAGCATAGAAACTTTAAAACAGCATATTCCTCCTATAAATTAAAAATGAACTCCTACTTAGGCTTTTCCCTATATGGTGGGATAAACAAACCAACATAATGAATAATTAACTTTGTGTTTAAAAGGAAATTATTGTGAAACTTCTAATACAGCTTTCTGTATAAATATCTGTGCATAAGCTTGAACTACCACAGCTACCTACAATGCCTCTCCACCTCTACTTTCCCAACAGTTAACTTAAACGGAGAGAACAGAAACGGTAAAGCCAAAAGGCTGCTCAGCACCTGGTCTTTGCTGGAATTCAGCCCTGTTGTCATGTATTTGCAGTTAGTTGACCTAACTATCCCACAAGGCTATGTCTGAACGAATGGCTCCCAATGGAGAATGTAGTGAGAAGAAGGGTTGCAACAAGCCCTTTAAATTGGGACCAGTGGATTTTCTGCACTTGTGCCAAATGCACAGAACCTGCACAATGGCTTGTGAATATGAAGCAGGCCTTCTGACTTTTCTTCCCTTCTGTACCTCTTTGTGCTGTGTCACAAGCTACTTTGAAACTTTGTCAGGTACTGTGCAGGGGAAAATAAGTCAGAAACTCCTCTGTGTGCATGTAGCTCACAAGATTGATGGTTGTCTTCAACTTATTGAGTGATTAAAAAAGACCCTTTGATGCAAACAGAGAGGTGGTCTGGGGAACAGCAAAATGCAGTGCCTTAGAACTCCTTTGTATTGGGAAGGGCAGATCCATCTATGAAGTACTTTGGAGTTTTAAGCCATGGCATGCAGATCATGGTCCTATACGAAGCAGCAACCAAAAGCAACTCTTTAAAGCACACGGACACATACACAAACTGGAGTTTGTTCATGTTTGGAAGTATGATTAGATTCCAAGCAAATAACTCACTTGAGGAGAAGGTCACACAATAAGAGAGACATCATATATACACAGACCAGGGAGACAGCAGAACTCCCGCACAGATTCCAGCAGTTTCACTGGGACTTTAAATCTGTCAACAGCTGCGATGTAACTACAGCAGTTTCTCCCTAGTGAAGCATAACGCCTCAGGTTATTGACTCACATGAGAGAACAGTCAGTAACGTTATCTAGAGTGGGGTTAGGAATTCCTCATATTATACAGATTTATGTTTGTCATATGTAGAGAGCTGATTTAGCCAGCGAAAGACTCTAGGCTTATACCTCTGGAGACAAAATAGCCCCAATTAAACCATAATTAATAATTATGTCTTAGTTAATGTTTGCACAGTGATCAAAAGCTGTTAGGTACATTACAGTAGCAAATAGGCTTCCTAATTCACTGGGAAAGATATGCTTTAGACCACAGAAGCTCCCTTCATGTGGTTTCCACCTAAAAAAGGCCACAGCCTACATTGAGCTAGCAGTACAGAAAAACACTCAGTATTCAGGGACATACACAGAGGCAAAGATGACATATTTGTCTTTTATATTCTGTCCAGAACATAACCAGAAGCAAATATTTGGCTGCTTATTGCTAATAAAATTTTGATATTTAATGCTCTGCCCCTTCTTGACCACCCTGATCCATCCTTAAGCTTCTATATTTGGTTCTAGCCCACTTTTTACATGGTCCTAAGCAAGCTGTAAGATTTCTCCAGAGGTCTCTGTTCACATCCTTTGGCTTCCTTCTTCCCTCAACTCCATGCTTCAGTTCTTACAAAGAAATGCATCTAAGGCTGCATTAGTATCATGAGTTCACATATTCTCATAATGCAACTCCCTTCTTTGAATGCTACAAATACAAAACAAACCAGCAAAACATATGACCGATTGTTCATTTGACTTTTAGCAATTTTCTGAAATGTCACTATCAGCCAATACCTTTTCCTCCAGCCACCTCGCAGCGCTCACTCTCCATTCTCTCCAAAACACCTGTCTCTCCACTCAATTCTCTCCTGAACTCACCACTCACTGCTACCATTGCAAAACCTCAGACATCAGTTAAACCACTTCAAGGACATGAAGAAAATAGTTACATGAATGCCCCCAAGCTACACATTGTACATCATTAAAAGACTAAGCCATCACAGATTCACAAGCATCGAGAGCTTTTAACATGGCTAAGCTGAACAGTCTTAGGCTTCAATTTTTGTTCTGAAAATTGCCCATTTGATAAGGTGTAGAGATCATTCATGGAAAACTCAATTGCCATTTGTTCAGATTGAGTGGTAAACAGTGGGTTTTCCCAGGGAAAGCAGAGAGTCTATCTATCTATCTATCTATCTATCTATCTATCTACCTACCTACCTACCTACCTACCTAGTGCTATTTTTCTAGAAAAATAGGTGCCAGAACTCACCATGAACACCTCCCTTGGTCTCTTACAATGGCAATGGAGCCCACCTGAGAGGTGCCAGACCTGAGTTCCAGAGAGTTCCAGCTGAAAAAAAACCCTGATTCTATCTATCTATCTATCTACACACTGCTTGAACACAGACCTAGAAATCTCAGACCTGTGCCTAGAAAGCGTGACATGAAAGGAAGTGTGGGTGAGCCCGGAACCTTTAACTGAAAAAGCAAACAGGTGAGGCTTTAGAGGCTGCTTCCCAGTCCTTCTGCCACAGAACTGTACAGCTTCCCCAGGTATGCCCCTTTGGGGCATTTGCAGGAACTCTATAGTCTTGAAAAATAACAGACTTTTTTGGTGAGTGGGCATGTGCAGAAAAAGTGGCAAGAAACAGATATGATGTTTTGGCAAACACAAAAATGACAATAACTCTATACATGTGACTTTGTCTAAGGCCTAGTTTTAAATAGACGGATTTCAGACAATAAATTCTGTGGCAAGTGATGGTTCACCTACCAGTTTGCAAAAGAGACAATTTCATACTAAATGAAGTGTTTCCCTATCCTTAACCTCAACCCTCAAGTGTATTGAAACAAGTTCCTACCTGCAGCAATTGCCGTCTTCCCACCTACAGTCACAGCCACAGAAGTGCTCACAGTTACCGCCTCAGGCAGACCTCCTTCTGTCAAGACATAAATGAAGCAAATTTAGTACCTGACCCTGTATCCCTAAGGAAGAGGGTCTCAGAATTGACACTCACAAATCAAGCACAAAACTGCAGTACAGAGAAGAATGAGGTTTAATCTATACAAACAGCACAAACCTGTGTCAAGACTCCAGGCTGCAGGTGGCGGTTCACCTGAGTGATTGCTCCTTCAAAGATTAAAAAGTCCCTGCACATGTCAAAGATGTTACAGAGACATCTCCATAATGTGTGTGTGTGTGTGTGTGTGTGTGTGTGTGTGTGTGTGTGTTTATTAACTCAAAATACTTATAGGCTGACTTTCCGGGCAACGGTGGCTTGCAACAATAAAAATGGCAAAATATCAACAGTACAACCATAAAGCCATCAGATCCCTCCCAAGAAAACAGCCAATAAAAATACTGAACCAGCAAATTAAAACACTTTCCACAGCAATAAAAAAAAATTAATCTAGGTGTAGAAATGTTTTTCACGAGGAAGCATTCATTCATGTTTGCCCATCCTTGTAATCTGAAATGGTACAGCCGAGATACAGCTTTAATACTGCAGCCGCTGTTTGTCTGAACTGAGTCTCTTAAAATCCTCAGAAGCTGCTCTGTGCATTACTGATCAAGAAATAACAAGACCTCATCACCCTTAATTAGCATAACAGGGTTGCTTAATTTTCAAAAATAGGGAGCTACAATCATATCTGAATTTTTCAAACCAATAAAGATTCCAAACAGCATGTTAAAGAAGGATGTGAAGAACTGGGAATGTGCTCCCATTCAGAAAGTAGCAGAGAGAAGATTCTCTGTGATAGCAACTAAAACATCTGTTTCCACATTTATATACAGTGAACTGTCAAATTGCCTATGGAAGTTTATAAGCAAAAGGCACCATGAATCGCTTGATATATTCATCCTATTTCCTGCTATGGGACCCCAAATATCCTCAGTAGGAAACTATGGACAGTGTGAACTATGTTCCTAATGAAATTTCACAGTCATAAATACCACAGGCTTTAGCCGAGAGGGATGTCTATAGGCCCAAGTGGTTGCTAGGGACAACCATGGAATGTTCATTCAAGTGGCTGCCGCTCCTAGCAAATGCAGTTAAGGCCTGTAGACGTCTGGTAGTAGCAGGTACATTTCTATGATATGCATGACGCATGAGCAGCCCTGCCATCCATGTGAATATCTTGCCTAGTTACAAAAAAGGACTGCTGCAATTGTGGCATGTGGCATACATGTGGGTATGCATGCAGTTCTGATTTATTCACACTACTTCCTACAGGCAAATACAAGCAAGCTGGAGGTTGTTCACATTTACATATTACCCTGGCAGGGCTACATGCATGAGCTAACCCAGTAAGACAACTTAAAATGCTCCATAGTTTCTCCTGTCACACTAACAAAATGTTAATTAGTCAAGATTTCAGTCCATTTATTCAGTGGTTAGATTAATTCACCCTGGAAGAAAAACGTTAGTTAATATTCAGTTTATCAACAGAGTGTCAGGTGTTTTTGATATTTGAAATATATGTGACCTACCAAAGCAGCAGATAGGATTAACTGGCCCTGTAAGGGGTGATGGTTGAATTCTGAAAGAACTGTTTTGACAGCCCTAAAGGTCATTTAATTTTGGATTAATCCAATATTTTAAAGAAATTTGTGGTCTCTCATTTGGGAAAGGTGTTGCACAGCCACTTTTATCACAAAAGAAGAATACCACGCCAATGAAGTACTGGTACACCAGAAGGTAACCACCGCATTGTTGCACGCCACCACAATCCCTGAGCGTTGTGAGATTGCAGGGGTTCCAGGTGCTTACCCAGGGTTCAGTTTCCTCAGAATGAGGGTCAGTGGAGACTGTGGTGTCTTTAGGATATATTATTTATTTACACATATATACAACTTGAGCCTACACTGGAGAGGCTCACAGCATTAACATCCCAATAGGTATTGCTTCTCCCATAGCCACAGCCTTGTATTCCAGCAGAAATCAAGCATGTCTCTTCTTCACAGGCTTCAGCCTGCAGCCTGCTTATTGCTCAGCTCTCACACACCCCTCTGACAATTGTCCTTCCAACCAACTGCCAGGTGAAGAAGAGGGGCTCATCCATTTGTTCTCCGGCACAGAGCCACTTCATTTGTTACCTTAATGGCCCATACTTAAGGGGCCATCACCTTGCCAAAAAGCTGGCCTGGCCAGCAATTCATTCCTTGCTGGATCCAAGAATTAGAAGGGGACTCAGGCATAAAGTCTAACCCCCTGTGCCCCAAAATCACAATAGTAGATTAGAACCTGTTCTCTCAAAGAACAGATAGAGTGGACAACCTAATACTAGACAGTACTGTTTCACATGGTGTCTCACATGCTTGAACACACCTCAGTACATAAACATTCCCTACACATAGAAAACTATTAGGTAAAAAGTTAGGATGGAACTCCTCTCTCTGACATCTAGCTTGAAGTGCATTCAATTATGCCAGGCCCCACCTGCAGTCTGAAGTGCTACAGTCATGAAACAGGTTCACTTCCTCATCTGCTATTTGAGAGAACTAGGCATGTGAATCAAGTGTAGGCAAACTTGTTTATATTTCTTTGTGCTTTACAACTGTTCCATTTTCTGTGTTAACAGGGACATTCTGAAGGTCAGGATTTCTGGTCACATCACACACAAACACATGTTTTTATTCCTTCACAGTATACTGCCTTACGGAATGTTCTGCCCCAACATAAGGGTTTTCCTTTCTCTTCCCCCACAGTTCCAGAACTTGTCATTTGCTTTTTATTCTTGGCTCCATCACCAGTGCCCAATGTGTCCTGAACATGACTTTGCAGCTTCATTCATTTTTAGCCTCAAGTCTTTGTGCAGATTGAAACAAACAACAAAAAACCTACAACAACCCTGAAATTAAGTTGATTTGTGGAAGGGCATTGCACAGACCTAAGGGAGCACTTGTTCAATTCAAGGACTCTCCTTCTGGATAGCATTCATATGCCTCAACCATTATCCTTGCGGCATTCAAAAACCCTCTCTCTCACACTCATACACTTCTGTGTGTTTTGGGGACAGACAAAGGACACCAAAACCCTCCAGCAGAATGCCACGTGACGTCCTGCAGAGTCATACGTGTAGATACAGCACAAACCCTAAGGAAATGAGAGCTTTTAGTTCACTTGCTGGACACAGCACTAATTACAACTTCTGACCTTACCTTTTGCATGTTACAGCTCCGGGGGGAAATGATCTAATAAGAATAGCATGACATTCTCCCTCCCCACAGGCATATGCATTCTAATATCATGTTCATTACCACATGGAGCAGGAGACAAATGTACTCCCCTGCAACCTCAAAAACCAGCTTGTCCCTGACACACAGTCTGGAAACAGATTGAAGTGGTTTGAAGGAGTCCACAGATGTCTATGTGACATCTGAAGGCAGCCCTGTTTTGGGAAGCTTTTAATCCCCCCTCCCCCCGTTTTTTTGTTGGAAGGCACCCAATGTGGCTGGGACAACCCAGTCAGATGGGCGGGATATAAGAAATAAATTATTAGTAGCGTTAGCATTAGTATTATTATTGTTCATACACATTTTTTTTATCCTAATGCAAATTCTATTCAAGCATGTCCTGCAGGTTGAACTGAAAAAACATAAAAAGCCCTGCAAATTTGTTTACCGAGGTGAAATTTGGATATGCTACACACCCGCTTCTGCCCACAACTTCCTCTTGCTTCTCATCAACCCACCCCCACATGGGTTTAATTTCTACATCTAGTTATTAACATTAAAAGGTGTCGTATGCATTTATTTCCAAATCATGTGGGGAGGCATTTGCATAAATTGGTTTGTGTTTGTTTTTTATATACACCATCACAAATTATTGTTCCAAAACAGTGCTTTGTATAGGTTTGGGAGATCCTGTGGTCAATATTATGAAATGGGCCCAGAAACTAGTCATACCTACACTGATTTTAAGTTCTGCTAAAGAATGAGTGTGTGAGATTTTGGACAGCCCCAAATATCTGTCACCCAAGGTCAAAGCACACCTGCATGAGTTCACTAAACATGCAGTTTCTGGTTTGTGTATAAAGTAGGGTCAGTATCACTAAATGGGGCACATAGTGAAACCCCATCTCCCACCCCACCTTACTTACTAACTGTAACTTAGGGAGGGGAACCTATTTCAGCCTGAGGGCCACATGCCTTTGTGAACAACATTCTGAGGGCCACATGCCAGTGGTGGGCAAGGGTAAGAGGCAAAAGAGCTAGGAGAAACCAATGTAAATTTTATATCTGCAATGTAAGTTAATTTCAATACACACTCACACACCTTTCTGTATCCTCCATCCAGACAGGCCAGAGACATTACAAGGATTCAGGGGCACATTCCAGACAGGCAAAAAGACAGGGGGCAATGAAAGGTGCAGCCTAGTTCAAACAAGAGCCATACGGAGGCATCACAAGGATTGCATTTGGCCCTGCCTCAGGTCTGAGGTTCCCCACCCCTGTCCTAACTTACCTCAGAAGTGAGCCAGCTGATGAAAAGTGTTCAAGTAGCAAAGTATGGGGAAGTGGGCAGATTTTGTTCCCCTTCCCCATTATATTCAGCAATTAAAGATGAGCTCTTCAACTCTGCTTTATAATGAAACCAGCAAGCACATAAATATATCTGGTTTGTCCCTCAATTCCACTACAGAAAATGTGAGCAGAGCCTCTGTCGTTTATTGTCATTTCAAGGAAATCAAAGCTGTTACCCTGAAGTACTTTTTCTGTGGCAAAGTTTAAGCTAAAAACTAAGTAAGTTTGAGTTAGCAGCAATGCTGAAAACAGATACCAGGTGCTGTGGGGATTTAACTATGCTGTGGCATCACCTGAGATCTTATAAGGGCTTTGAGAATGTCAGGGAGTAAGAAAACATGAGGTCAGCAACTGCTAAAGCAAGGGGGTAAAGAACCTAATGTTGGACTTCAACTCCCATAAGCCCCAGGCAACATAACCAATAGTCAGAGATGATGGGAGTTGTGGTCTAACAACATCTTGAGGCCCACAGTTTAGCCACTTTAAAGGTGCAAGAGCCACAAAAGCCAAAGCAAGGCTTCTGGTGGCCAGGTAATAAGGCTTCCTGGAAAGAGTGAAGGTAAGTGTGGATAAGCCCTTAGGGAAGGGAACAGATGAAACTGCAGAGATAAAAGGCATAGAAGTTGAAGGAAAAATAGAGAGAGGAGGCCCAAGTGTTGTTCATTGTTCATGAGGAAACCTTCATTTCCAGGTCCTGGTCCCTTGCAAAAGAGCTACCCAAAATAACACATTAGAACAAGGGAACATTAATTTTTAGAGGTGTTTGTATCATATGGAGTGTGTGGTGGGAATAAAAGTGCCTCCTCCCATTCTGGTTATATATTCCTTCTCTTAAAGCATAGCTGCGGTAAAGAGAGTTGGCAAATGTTTGATTAAAAATTACCAGTCTGGAAATGCTAGCGAAAGAGCCAGGCTAGGACTTGCAACACAGAGTGAAAGCTGACAACATTAGTATGCCCATTATACAACATTAATACAGCTAATCAGTAGAACCTGATTATGATCAGGGGCTAGAAGAGCCTGACAGATTAAGGGTGGAGCCTGAGAGGAACTGGGCTGGGTCAACAGGAAATAATATTTAAAAAACAAGGAAACAAGCAAACCTTTGTCTAGCCTGCTATTGTTTATTAGTATTTCTGTCCCAAGGCTTCCAGAGCAGAGCTTTACTAATTGCAGCAGTTCTATAAAGGATAGCTGACAGATCTAGGAAGCGCAAAGGGGAAAACAAGGAAGGAGGGAAGGGCTGAGCTTCTTTATCTCCATTCCACTCACCACTACATTCGCATCCTGGTTCACATTCTTTTTCCCAGTCTTGTTTTCTTTGCTCAACTGCTGTCTTCTCTACCCACCCACCCTCCCACTACAATGCCAAAAAAAGCTTTGCAGCTAAAGCATTGTGCATTGTGATGACAGTGCCTGAATGCAGAAGAGGGTTGAGCAAAAGTACATAGTGGTTTCCAGACCACATAGATTCCCCCCATTCTTTTGTGGTAGTTGTCATTGCTGTTCATTGACATCATCTATTCCTCCCCACCCTCCACAGAAGTGATTCCATGAGAACACTTTCTGAAACTTAACTTTGCACTGAAACAGTGAACCCTGAAGTCAGAAAAAGCATTGGCTGATGAATATGCCCCTCTAACTACAGGTGTTTTCATTCAGTGATAACCAGACCCGGAAGGAGTAAGGGAAGAGGAGAGGCTTTCTACTGGCAACTTCCCATGTATAACCTTGGAGCAAACACATGTCAAATTGGTAACTGATTGATACACTGGCGTGTGTAGTTCCTCTTCACAAAGCTGAGAGTCCCCCCTTGTATCCTTCCATTACCTTAGTGTAATTTTGACTCACCTGCTGTGTGATTAATGAAAGCATATGGCACAAATTTCCCTCAGAGCTCTTCTGCACTGGGCTAATTTTGGCTGCCTTAAAGTACCCTTCTGTATGTCATTTTTCATGGTGAGCGAATCCTGCATCACTATACCGCTGCGGCAAAAGGGTGAGATTCGATGATGACCAACACAGCCTTCATTTAGCAAGTGAGATGAAATGTACACCACCCAGCTTGTGAGCAAAATAATGAAAGCCCCATTCTCATCAAAACAAAGTAATAACCTCATCTCATCTCTGCAACATGCTGACAGCTATTTAAATTATTGCAATGATTAATAGGTCTGACCACCTGTCTGCCATGCATACAAGTGTTCTCATGGGGGTAGGATAGTGCTGACTGCCCCCACCTTTTTGGTGTCCAACCTTCATGAGTTCCAAGGGTCTCTCTGCTCTGAGGCCTCAGTATATATAACAGAACATTCATCAACATCCTAAACACAATCTGCTCTTCCTTGTTTTTGTTGCAGGTTGCACTGTTGAAACCTACAAATGTAGATCCCAGTGCTGGCAGGACTTTAGAATATATGGAGGTTAAGGAGCAGCAACAAGTCAGTCTCCCATCAACAAGACAGTGCTAGAGATGCATGAGCTGCAAAAAGAACTCAATCCTTAATGTACACAAAGCACTCCACTGCCGCCACTTTCCCTGCCCATCCCTGGACCCATAAACTTTACAGGAGAAGTGGGGTGGAAACTGATGTGAACATTGTCATTTGCCCATGAGGGGTGTCTGGAAGTGTAGTTCTAGTCCAGGCACCCCCAAACTCTTCCCTCCAGATGTTTTGGGACTACAATTCCCATCATCCCTGACCACCAGCCCTGTTAGCTAGGGATGATGGGAGTTGTAGTCCCAAAACATCTGGAGGGCTGAGTTTGGGGATGCCTGTTCTACTCCATTGTCTGTGTGACAAATGGATGCTTGGAGTGTCCATGCTACCACCTCTCCACTGTTGCCTGTCCTTCCACCCAGGTAAGGTTTGTGTTGGGCTTGGGCAGGAAAAGATGGCCAGTGCTGGAGCAGGAGAAGGGTGTTTGAGGGTTGGATCATGCAGTCCTTATTCATAATCTGTTAGTGGGCGACATCAAGCGGGGTGGCGCCCTGCCTGACCTACTTATGAGGAAGCAACTTTTGTAAACACCCTTATTCATGTCCACACAACATCCTTTGTTTGCACAAGGCTATAAATCCTTCACAAATACCTAAACTCCAGCTTTGCCTTTAAGTTATCCCCTCTTGCCCCTCTCTTTGAGATGCCTTCAATTGTGCCAAGACAGTAGCATCCTGAAGGCATTCAAATAATGAACAAAGGGGGGGGGGACTTTATGCAGTCCTGTCAGGAGCCACCTGTGCTCCTGCACCCTGAGCCTGACAAGACTGGAACCACAAGGAGGCAACACACTCTGAAAGACAGACCTTGGTGCTCATACGTTTGGTTTTCAAACATTTTTCAGAAGCCAGACGTCTGACAGGGCTTCCGCTTGAGTGCAGGAAGCTACTGCAGCCAATTGGAAGCAACACCTTGGTTTTCAAATGTTTCGGAAGTCGAACAGACTTCCGGAACAAATTCTGTTCTAGAACCAAGCTACGACTGTACCTGCCAAAACACCATCACCAGAGGCACGGTACCCTTTGGCAGCCCAAGGCCATCTCCCTCTTAGTCCTACTCAGTAGGGGGTAAGCACTAACATATGCTCTGGATAAAGGCCCTTCTGTGCTCCAGGCAGAGGTGGGGCATGATAGTCACTGATGCAATAGCTCTGTGAAGACATTTCCCTTGCTGAACCCAGTTGAGGCCTTCTTCTTCAGAACCTGCTCCTACCACTGAGAACTGACTGGACCACTCCCTGGCTTGTCCCACACTCCTTCCTCAGAACCTGAGACTCCTTGCTCTGTCAGTATCTGTTCCTGCTGCTTCCCACACCACTCAGAATTTCACAGCTAGAAGTATCCCTGCATTTGATTTATCCAGATTCCTTTGAAGGTCTGCATAGAGTTAGTGCACTTTTTTTTCAAACTTTCTGGTTATATGAATTGGACCAAACAGACATATAATTGTATATATATAGGCCCTATGTACGCTTTCAGATAAACATATATGAGTTGGGCTTACCACTGTGGTACCCATCACAGGTTCAGTATACACCACTGAAAAGTTTTTAAAAGCCATTGAGACTTTTTTACTCATTCCTTTGCATCATTAACAGAGGGAATAAAAATTTCAGAAAAGATTTGTGGGCCTTTCCTGTGTTTTATCTCAGCAGTTATTTTAAAACGACATTTCAAGTTCCAGGTCTTCCAGGTGACCACAAAAAAGAGAGCTAGAACTGAATATTTATATACACTATTAACTTTGGATCCAACCTTGTGTGCTCTAGGAGTAAATCCCATTGGTAACAATGGCCAATTAAAAGATGTTTGAATGGCTACAAAAACAAAAGGACTGTGCCTCCAGTGTGTGCTTGCTGTTTTTCTGCTGGTGGGCCAAAGCGAGGGTTGAAAATATCCTAATTTTCTACTCATTCACTTGAGCTAAGAAGCTGCCTACTGACTGATTTGGCTTCAATTGTATTACAACACATGAATTACGCAGAGTTACCTGAAGGGTCTTCAAAAGGAATGCTATAAATGAAGCTTCCTGGGGGATGTTCGGCTGCTCGGCGGTACCAAAGTGGGAAGTGGTCCATGGTGAAGATGCTCTCTTTATCTTCACGGGTCAAGAACTTCCTGGAAGAAGAAAAGCAAAGCATCTCTTTTTTTCCTCATCTGAAAGGCCTACTATTGTACTTCAGAATGTTCTTCAAAGCATTATGAACATATTTTTTAAAAAATTATCCAGTTCTCATCTTCCACAGCCCATTAAACTACATCAAATGCAGCTGTTTTTAACCAAATAAAAACCAGCAGGCCAGCAGCACAAGCAAGAAGACTGGCAGAGCAAGCAAGAGGACAGGTAGGTGACGCAAGTGGGCCTTCCTATATCCTCCCTGTCATTGCTGCCACCACCACCACCCACTTGCCAGCTTGCTTGTTTGTTTGCATGCATGCACAACAGGGCCAAGGAAGCCCATGGTCCAAGTGAGTGAGTGGGGTTGAGAGTTGGCAAGGGGATAGGTGGGGTTAGTGAGCAATGCAGACAAGGGCAGCAGCTCTGTGTGTGTGTGTGTCCTTCTTTTGACAAGTGAGGTCAAACAAACGTTGGCAACAGTGAAGAAAGTGAACCAAACTTCTGTATCAGTCTTCAACAACTCCACGTTCCAGGTAGTACTGAAGGAAGACAGACAGTGAATTGTCATGTGCTGTTTCAGAGCCCTTCCTCCTTTAATTTAGTGACAAAATAAATGTTTTTACTCTTACAGTTTTTGGAATCAATGCTACCCACAACTGGAATCACCAAGGAAACAGAGAAACCATGCACTTTAGGCAATACACAGGAGTCAAAATGACCCTGCAAAATGCTGTTAAAAGGTATTAGTTACTTGTTATACCTACAGGTGAGCTTAGCCTAGGACCTGTCCTCTTCATTTTGTGCAAGCAATTGAAATTACAAAACATGTCTAATTTAGGCCCATTCATTTTAATTGATAATAAACAAATCACTCACATCCCTTTACATTACCACAAATTGCATTGAGGTCAATAGAATTCTACAGATTTAAAAACCCTTTACAAACCTGAAGGAGGAGAGGGGTTGTTGTTTTTGAAATAAAGCAAAACTATTTATCCCCCCCCAATTCCTATTATTTTGTGCAAAACTCACCAATCCAACCTTTGGGGTCACTGAGACCCCAAGTGCATCTGCCAGTGTTTACAAGCAACCTATACCCCCACTTCAGCAAGTGGCCAGATTTAATGGCAACTTTCAGTCAATATCTTTGCAAAATGTGTTGTTAAAGGTTGCTCTCAACACTTCCAGGACACAGTGTCACTGGCCTCCTTCAAAATAATCAATGTAGTCCTCAGATTTTATTATCTGCTTCAATGCTGAACTACCAATGTGAGAAACAAGGTTGCCTTGTGCACAGCCTGTATAATAAGTTTACCAATACTCTCCCCAATGCTTTGTGCCATGTGAGAACATAACAGTGAGCGAATTACTAGCACCTTTCAAATGAAGATCCCCAATGAGACAGTATATGCCTTCCAAACTCACTAACTGGAATATAATTTTGGCTGTGCTGCAATGGGCACAACAGGGTCAGAAGAACTACACCCAGTTTATTCACCCAAGTCTCAGCAATACATGCCCGGTTGGCTCCCTCATCCTTGATCAAACCATGAATGAACATAGTCGTCTTATGTACCAACCTGGCATTAAGTAACAGCACCACCTGGTCAGATGGCTTGGCAAGAGAGCAACCAGATAGAGAGAGGGTCATAAGAGGAGATGGCCTGCAAACATCCATATCCTCTTCTTTACATATGACTTGCCCTCTACCCAGTGCTGTATCTCCTACTGACCATAATCACAGGGATATAGGGGAACCCTTATTATATTTTCCTCTGTTCTGTCCACTCAAACATCCTGCATGCTTCCATTTTTCTTATTCTGTCGGCTGATCTCCCCACCTCTTTTAATCCTCAAATTGTTTTTAAAATCCCCTACAAATGGGCTCTAATTCATAGGGTTAGCTGACAACTCTGTTCAGTGGAGCCACAAACCTTTACATATGGTAAGAGGCCCATTGCTATCTTCTCCCTTTAGCTGTTCCTTGGGTCCATTTGACTAACATGAGGTGTGATATTGCAGATGATGAACTGAAATACTTTCACGGTTTAGTCTCTTAAGGGTAATGGACCCAGCTCAGTGGTAGAGCATCGGCTCTGCAAGCACAAGGTCCCAAGTGAAATCCCTGGCATCTCCAGGTAGATGTGCGAATTTCCCGACTGGAAACCCTGCCAGTCAGTGTAGTCAGTACTGAGCTAGATGGACCATTCATCTGACTCGGTATAAGGCAGCTTCCTATGTTCCTAATGCATTTGCCCTATGCGCAGTTACCTGGGAATAAGCCTCCCCTTAAACAACATGTGGTTATTTCTGGGTAAACATGCATAGGATTGCCCTGTTAGCCTTTTATGCTACACTAGCTCCTATTCATCTTCTGTTACTGTTTTCACCACACTGCCTCCCCTTCCACCCCCAGAAACAGCATGCCTAATGAGCCACCGCAACTATAACAGCAGCAGCTACAGGGTGAAACAAACCACATCGATGATGTATGTCATGTCTTGCTTTAAAGGACCCTGAAGCATTTTTTTAAAAAAACACACCAAACGAACTGTATACTGTACCCTGGTACAAGTGTGACTTTATCACCCATTACAGAACCACTGCAGAGAGGGACAGAGCTATTCTTTTACAGCTCACAGCTACACTATGCAAACACTTTAGGACATATAAATTGTGCCTACCTTGGGAGATTTAGAGAGGGACACGTTAAGCTCTCAGGCAGGTCTTTGGCTGTGTAAAAAGGTTTATTTCCACATTTTCCCCATAAAGAGCCCTCTGCTATTTTAAAAGCACACAAAGCAATCAAGAAAGGAGATCGGAACAAAATGTCCAAAACATTTTGCTTCAGTAAAATGCTGATATGTGAACATATAGCAGAAACTCTTTTATCAAATACTGAGTTGCAAAAGCTGTTGGGTATCCAGGATACTAATGTTTATTATATGCATTGAACTTCCAATTATCTGTACCTCCGGCTGTCTGAGGGTTCCTCCAGATGACCTCTTTATTGAGCATTCATCCTGATTTGCTTGCACAAAGCTTACACAAAGGTTAAGCTATGTCCAGTCTTTATTGAACATTTGTTATGATGAAGTCACATGACAATTAGCGTTCATTTTGAATTTATTCTGATTTGTCTCCATTGTCATTCTATATATTTCCATTAATATTTCATTTATCCCACACACTTCAGTGCATTTTCCTCATTGCAAAAAAGTAATTTTATTAAAAAGTAGATTTGTTGCACCATTGCATCAGAGCACTTTAATTGCAGAAACCTAAATCTCCAGTATGCACTTAAACCTCTCTTACAAAATACTGACAGTGATTTGTATGTTTGTAAGCCCTTGAAAAGATAATGACTTGAATGCTAAGCATGTATATTTGAGGACGGCATTCCATATTTAGGACACAATGGAAAAGGTCCTGTCTCTGACAGCCAACCCACCTAGCTTCTGAAAGTAGGGAACCCTGAGAAGGGCTTCAGCTGCAATCAGGAAACAGTATTTCATGGAAGAGGTCTTTCTCGTCGCCTGTTACCAGATCCTTTTTTAAAAAAAGTGGCGATGCCAAAGAATAAACCTGGGACCTTCTGAATGCAAAGTGTGTGTTCTATTACTGAGTTTTGATCTGATACTCTGATCCCAGGCCTTTTAGGAGTACACACACACACACCGCAAGATTGGATGGCCTACATGGAACATCATCTCAGTTTCAGATGGTGCAATTAACTCAGGCTTGACAAGTACATTGATTATTGCACCAACTTGGGAGCCTTAGAAGAAGAACATGCTTAATAGGACAAAACTAATAGTTTCAGTCTTGCAATTCACAGTACCAAGCACCTGATATTTCTTTGAGTGTTACCTGTTTCCAGAACGAACAGAAATCGGACATTAATGATTCTGTAATACTTACTCTGCTTTTCCATGCGGGATCAGATTATACAATGAATCCTTATTAAGCATCACATTAGCAAATACCTTACTAGGTAGTGTGGGGCACATTAAACTTTGGCCCAAAGGAGGTGGTAGTATCAAGAGTGCCTCCCTGTGACTTGTGTGCAACGTATTTTAAAGATAAGATTGCTTATATCTGCTGGGCCCTTGACTCGACTATTAGATGAGTCCCAAGAGGAGTCCAAAACACTGTCCAGTCCTGTGTTGGATGAGTTAATAAGGCTGTGGACAAAGTGCTTGGTTTGGTGTGGGACACCACCTATATTCTTGCCCCTCATGGAGAATAAAAAGTAACAGGAAGGGACAACTGGCTGGGCTAGGGAGGTGATTAGTGTCTCCTTGAGAGTGAGTGGTCCCTGCCTGCTAAAAGGAAGCAGTGGTAGGTCTTAGGAAACCCTTCCTGGATTCAGAAAACCTAAGTAATTACTACCAGACAGTAATTTCCTCTTCTTGGGCAAGGTCCTTGAGTGGCTGCAGGACAGAACCAGGCTCTCTTGAATGACCTGCATGACCTCTGTAGGGAGAGACAGGGAGAGTGTGTCCCCGTTAATTCTCTTTGAATTCTCAGAGGCTTTTGATACCACAGACCATGGTATTCTTCTGGAGAAGCTGACTGAGTTCAGAGTGGGCAGCTCTACTTGCGATGGTTCCAGTCTTACTTGGATGATTATTTTCAGAGGGTGGTGTTGGGGGAATATTGTTTGGTCCCGTGCAGCCTTTAGTGCAGAGTTCACCAAGGTTCAAGGTTCACTTCTACATGAAACCACTGAGTGGGATTATCCAGAATTTTGCAGAATGATAGCTATTTCTGTCTGAGGACCATCAACACAGCAAATTTCCCTAATCCAAAAAAACAAACCAGCATGTAGGCAGTTGTACACACTGGGATGCAAGGTGGTGCAGGGCTGGCTGAAATTTGGCTAGAGTCTGCTGCATATAGGAGACACATGGGATGCACATGAGTTTCCACATTATTAGATGTGGTCCGTTGTTCTCTGCCTACTGCTGGTGCAGTAATTCTTATTTCTGCATTTAGATTGTGCCCATCCAGCAACAGCCCAAGCAAGCGGATTAGACTAAAAGTAAAGCTTTTTTGGAAAATGGTAAACCTAGCAAAAATAAAATAAAATAAAACCAACCACTGCATATATCTCATGTGGTACTAGACCTCAGTATACCAGAATCTAAGCCCCTTGGGCTGAAAGTCCAAATTGTAATACTTTTGCCCCACCAGATGGAGCTGTTGTCCGCACCAAAACAGCCGGGTTGTTCACGTGCAATGTGTAAAGGGTAAGAATCCAGAAAAGATGATTAGTTGTTTTTCAGTTCAACAGGGCTGAATTGGAGTTAAGCCTGACACACAGAGACAAAACCAAAGCGTGGAGGTTGCATCAAGTGCTGCTTTGCGGAGCATGCTCCACTGTACAAGACGTTTGTAAATTCTTGCAGTGTAGATTTTTCGCCGCACCATTGGTAACCATTGCCCAAAAGCAAGCCATTGAAATGGGAGCAGTGGAAACTCCTTGTATCCACCTGGCAAATAGGTAAATGCAAACTGATTGCCACAATGGAGTACTCTCCATGCAGTTGCATTCTGAGTGGCAAGCACACTGCTTATTCAGGTTCCATTCATCTACACATATACATGCCCTAGAGATAATTAATCACCCTGCTAGATCAGACCAATAGCCCATCTAGACCAGCTTCCTGCTCTCATAGTGGCCTAACAGATGCCTAGAAGCAGGACCTTAGTGTTACAGCACTTTCCTCCTGTGGGTTCCAGAAACTGGTTTTCAGAAGCATACTGCCACAGACCATGCAGGCAGAGCATAGCTATCCTGGCTAATTGCCTTTATAGCCTTATCCTCCATGAATATGTCTAAATAAAGTCTAACCCTCATTTCAAGTCATCCATGTTGCTGGCCATCACTGCCCACCCCCAGTGGGACTGAATTCTATAGGTTAACTATGTGCTGTGTCTTCCCACATTCAGCTTCAATGGATGGCTTTGAGTTCTAGTGTTATGAGAGGGAGAAAAATTGTTCACTTTCTCTGAAACATGCATAATTTTATATGCTTCTATCATGTTGCCTCTTACTCGCCTTTTCTCTAAACTAAAAAGTCCCAAGTGTTGTAATTTTTGCTCATAGAGATGTGCACTGCTGTCACATATGTGCCTCCTGAGCAGGTTCTTTCTTCTGATTTTTTAAAAAAACGTATCAGGATATTGAGCAAGGCCACTAAATTCCACGTGCATAAATTTAGAAGAGTAAAGGCACTGCAAAGAGGGACACCTCCTATCCCAGCCAGGATGTCTGGTCATTTCATGTGAGAGCAGCTGTAGCAATATCTGTTACCTGAGGCATCCGGTTACTAACAACTGCACCATGCATGTACTAACAGATATTGCCACAAGCAAGTGGAAGGGATCTGGTTATGAGAGTATCATAGCAGCAGCAGGTGTCACATGTTAGCTCAGGAAGGTAGTGTTACTCCAGACAATGGATGTAGCAAGAACACACTGAGAGGCTACACTGTGCATCCTTTCACTAAGGGAACGAGGCTGGCGATTTGAACCAACAGGTTGCCAATTATTTCCTTGTGGGCTTTGGCAAAACATTATTTGGGGGGGGGAAGAGACTGATGCTGAAAATAAAGCATGCCTGGAAGACATGCTCTTGGACACAAAGACTCAGTTTCCCTTGTTCTGATTCAAGTGCTCCCGTGGTCCTTATTCACCAGGTATAATACCTATTTTCTGCTGCCAAATCACTGCCCTTGTTTGCCCTGTGTTGCCTTTCAGAGTGGCCTTTAAAAGTATTGTTAGCGGGCAGCAATGCAATTCTTCAAGCGTTAGCTTCTTTCCCAGTGTATCTAGATGTGGGGACAGAGGCATCTTGACTCTAACCACGACTGCATGTAAATGAGCACAGACAGCAATGTGTCTTGTAAACTACAGGGTGTCAATGACAACTGTATTTTTGAACTGTTAAGCAGGATACATTGTAGGAGAAGGAAAATCCAGGTTCACATCCCTCTCCAGCTATGAAACTATGAAATGGGTAGCCCTGGACCAGTCACCATATTATAATAGTGTTAGCTGGGATCTTGGAGGCCATGTAGCCCAAACCCCTGCTCTGTGCAGGTTCTGAAATGGAAGATGCAAGTCACAGCTGACCACTGTGCAACAACCTTGGGCAGCAGGATCCACAGGGGTCTCCAAGGAACGCATCACCTGCCACTGCAGCAGCAGTAGCAACAATAGCTGCAACACAATCCTTGGAGGCCAGATCTTATGCCTCCTCAGCAGCACTCCCATGCCACCTCTACAGTGGCCTCTCAGTGAATAGGAGGCTCTGCTGGTCTCCTCCCACCCCTAGGAAGGAAACGTTGGAGAATGTCCTCTAGGTCTTCTGGGTTATGCACCCACCCAGTATAATTCAGAGCAGACCCCTTTTCCTCCCACGACTGCCTTTGATTCCCACTTCAAAAGTCTGCTAATATTGATTTACTTCCCCCCTTGTTTCTGGTGTAGATCACCCCTTTTTCCCTGGACAAGGTGTGTGTGCCATTTTGAGGTTCCTCTCAGGTGCCAAAATGTCTTAGGCCAGCCCTGATGCAAGTACAGAGACACTGACAGATGGCCAGTCAACCTCTGCTTGAACACCCCCAGTGAAGGACAGTCCACTGCTACATGACACAATTTGTTCCAAAGTCATATACGGGTTTATCTTGCTTCCCTGCAATTTCCAGCATCTACCTATTAGTTCTAGTCCTGCCCTCTGGAGCAACAGAGAACCAGCCTGCTCCATCTTCCACATGACAGTCCTTCAGATATTTGAAGAGAGTATCTATCCTGTCTCCCCTAATTCTTCCACTCTCCGGGCTAAACAGGACACAGTACACCAAACTATCGGCCTGACCATCTACTAAACTGGACACAGTACACCAGACTTATCAGTGCATCTCCCTTCACAGGGGTTTACACTTCACAGCTAACTTTACAGGGTTATTTCTAGGGTAAATAAGGGAGCAACCTCTTATGCTGCCTGGGATAGTAGGATAGAAATATAACAACAGGCAAGTATATCTCCCACACCCACACACATATCTGCTACTGCAGACTAAATAAAGACAGAAGTTGGAGGACCACCTTCAACAATGTGAAAAGACCTTTAAGCACTGACTTTTGGAGGGCAAAGCGGGATGTTACACATATACAGAGTGTCTTTATTTTTGTCTGTGAGATGACAGAAGGTATGCAGCTGTGTAGAGCAAAGATTAACATATAAAGTGCTGCTCTGAACAGAGGTAGACTCATCCTGGCGCTCTGAAATGGCTATGCTAACATAGCCTTAGCTGTGGATTGAGGGAGGAGCCACAAGTGTGGCTCTCATTTGTTCTCATTCCTCGCATTAGGGGGACCCACCCGTCTGGTGTTTTATTGCGGGTGTATTCTGCAACAATAGTGCATTAGTGCTGGATTTATTCTGCTTTCTTTTAATTGAGGGGCTATAGCACAACAAAAGTGGGACAAAAACTCCCCAGAACATTTGTGGTTTGAAAAGTTATGAGGTTTCAGCAGGATGTTACAGGATATGCACTGACTGGGAATGAAGCAGTATTGACCGCCCCAAAACAATTGAAACTCCAAACAGTATTAAAAGTGGAATTGTGTATGACTGCACTGATAGCAACATGAGCACAAATACAAATAAACATGAATATGCAATAAAAAGAACATATAGCGTAGCCCTAGGTAGGGATACTCATGTAAAAGCCCAACCATTGGTTAGATCAAGACAAGCGTGTTTGTCAGCCCACACAATTTCCTGTGCACTGCAGAGGGGGATGAGAAGGAGTCCTAATGATTGAAACAGGCTCTGGGGCCAAGCAATAGTCAGCCCTGGATCAAAATGAAGCCTGAGCCTTTGGGGACGTTTACACATTCCCAAAGTGATCTCAGATTAGTCTGAAGGGGAAGGCAAGGGTTCCTGAGACTGGTTTTGTAATAAGTAAAATCAACAAACTCGCAGCAAAGTAGTGACTGGGTTTTAGGTTGGCTCCTGATTTTTCCAGGGAGACGGCAACCATCTGCTGCTAGACTCTCTAGATCAATGTACATCATGTTTGCTGGTTTTATGCATCCTGAAATCAAACCCAAAAGCCATGTGGTAAGTCAATATAAGGAAACTTTTATCAGTTTGTAAACTGATATCCTTTAGAGTTCAATATTTGCAAAAGATTAAGTAGCAGGGTTTGACAATGACAGGAGGAGTTGTTGAGAGGAAAGGAATGGTTATTATACTTCCTGTGCATTGCTGAATGATCACTCCAAGTACATTCATTCTGATTTCAGTCGTCCTAAGCTACACTGAGGGGCAATGGAGGAGGAATGTCTCCGAGATATGCATCCGGAGGACTCACCTGTTAGAAAGTTTCTCAGTTCCAACATAGAGAGCACTCCTCATAAGACCAGCCCGAGTTCCCATAAAGGCCATATCCACCCCTCCTTCAGCCTCACTGTTGGATGTAGTTGCACAGAAAGAGAGAGACAAAGATATATAGCATTAGGTTTCTACAGAACCAGTTCAATATACTTTGCACCAAACAACCTGAGGTTAGTGAGGCATAGAATACAGGCTTTGCATACAAAAGACCCTAGGTTCAGTTCCCACCATCTCCAGGAAGAGCTGGGAAAGGCTGTTCTCTGAAGGCCTGGAGAGTAGCTGCCAGTTAGTGCAGACAATACTGTGCTGGATGGACTCATCTGACTCAGCATAAGGCAGTTTCCAATGTTCCTATACGATAACCACACACATGTCACCACCATCACCACTTTCCAGTGTTACAGAGGGTGATGGGATTCTATTCTTGGCCTACGGAACTGCAGCCTTCATATTTTCTTTCTGTAAGAAATCATTCCCTATGAGGAAAAGCTAACTCTCCACCCCCATCATTCAGCCTGTTCACTGAGCTCCAGCCCCAAAGGCCTGCTGGCAGTTTCCTCACTGCAAGAAGTGAAGTTACAGAGAACCAGGCAGAGGGCCTTCTCAGTTGCGGTACCCGGCCTGTGGAATGTCCTCCCATCAAATGTCAAACAGATAAATAACTACATAATTTTCTGAAGACATCTGAAGGCAGCCCTGTATCAGGAAGTTTTTAATGCTTGATGTTTTGCTGTGCTTTTATTATGCTGGAAACTGCCCAGGGTGGCTGGGGCAACCCAGTCAGATAGGTGGGGTATAAAATACTACTACTACTACTACTACTACTACTACTACTAATAATAATAATAATAATAGGCCCCGCATAGAGCACATTAAAGTAGTCTAGCCTGGATTCAGCAAGAACATGTTTAGATGTGGCAAAACCTGCCTTAAATTATGAAGCATGCACTTACTCAGACAGGTTGAGTGCTAATGTTGTCCAGTAGGCTTCCATGGGTGCTGTTACTACAGCATCAAACAGCACCTCTTGAACTAATTCTTCATCGCCTGGGCATGAGAATGAAGAGAGAGAAAGGAGAAAGACCAAGTGCAAATACTAAGTAAGGTTTTATGACGCTTTGAATACCTTATTTTGTTATTTGTGTGTACATTTATCAACCCTAATGCATGGTTTGCATGCATGGTCTTTTCCTAATTTTATGCTAGGATCTACGAATCTATTTTTATTCACCATTTTTGTAAAAAGCACCCGCAAACTATCTCATATATTAACATTTCCCAAATAGAAAAATCTCTTTTTACATATGAATGTTGGTACCCTAAACAAATTTGCTAAGAAGGAGCACTGATTTCTTTAAGAAGATCTGCATCCAGATAAATATGTTTTGACCATCAGCCTTAATTAAAATTTTGATTTAAGAATCTATATTTTTTAAACCTGCTGTCTCTAGATACTGCTAAAATGCAAGTTTTTTTCCTGAGGAGAGTAGCAAGTTGCAGAGTGTCTTCACCGCTCAGCAAGAGTGCTAATGCTCAGGATTCCTGCCAGTCACCTATGCCTTCCAAGGAGCTCAAAAAGGGCATTCCACCCCTGCCCACTCCTCATTTTCCCATTTTTCTTTTCTGATATTCAATATTTGGGATAGAAGGATCTGTCAATTTCAGTTCTTTTCATTTCTCAATTTTCCAGTCTTAAGTTTAGTTACCTCTTTCTTTTTAAAATCTTTTTCAGTTGAAGTAAGTCACACAAAACAATACAATAAAAATAATTCAAATACAAAAAAGTAGTGCAGTACAGCTAAAAGAGACTTATTTAGCTCTCCACATTTTGCAGCAATTTTTACAATCATCATGAAAATTCACCAGCATTTTAATGAAAATTCTCTTTAAAACGCATTTTTATATGCAGTTTTGATTAACGTACACATTTTTGCAAACACTCTCCACTAATATAATGCATTTTATATTTTATTTTCACTAACATATTCATTTTTAATGCACACTTTCTCACAATATATGCATGTTTAAAAACTGCAAGATTTGGTTAGCATATTGATTAAGAAAGTATAAATTTGATAGATTTGGCTTTAGAATTCTAATTTAGAATTTCACACCATTTAAAGAGTACCATATTGGATATCCCTGTCTGGCTCAAACAAATAGGTGGCTTAACTCAGAGTAACTTTCTTCTTGTTAATGAGGCATATTTACCTCCCAAGTCCTACTTCATTCAAGCCTCTGGAGAGAGGTTTGCTCTCCAGAACATCCTTGCCTAGAAAAGGCAGGCTACTGGGCTGATAGGTTGAAGCTAGATGAAGAAATCATAACTTAGTGGTACAGGTTCTGTCTTCCATACAGAGGGTTCTGCGTTCAATCCCTGGCATCTCCAAGTAGGTCTACCTGAGACCCTGGAAACCCACTGCCAGTGAGCACACACAGTACTGAGTTAGATGGACCATTGGGCTGACTCAGTATGAGGCAGCTTCCTATGTTCCTATGAAGGAGGCAGATGTGACAGTGGGAGACAAAGGTTAAGTTAATACATAAAGAGAGACAGATACATTAATAGTTGCTAGCAATCAAAGCCATGATAGCCGAAAGCTCAACTTTCATTTTCAGTGAGCAGCATGCCTCTGACTAACCGAACAAAGCTGGGAGATTAATGAGAAGAGGTGGATGTCACCATCTGCCTAGGCATGGGCTGAACCTGCCAGTTCCAATTTGCAGTTAATTTGAAAACCAAGGCAGGGTCAGAATTAATTATGAGTAGGCAGTGGTGCCATGCTGATTACATCGTCAGCATACAGTGGGGGCACATAGACCTCACAGCATGTTGTACCCTGGACAGCAGGAATCCTCAGGTGAGACAGAAAAGGGAATGTGGAAGAAGACGTGGCAGGACTGTGGCTCACCATCATACAAGGATTTTGGATGTGGCACACAGGTTAAACATCTTGACTGCCCCAGTGCTTCATTCATGCTTAATGCTTTCGTACTCCACTTCTGCAATTATGGGATCTGACCTCTCTTGAATAGCGACAATGTCACACACAGATGAAGTAACTTGCTATCATACGTAGGGATGGTGGAGAAATTAATTTCATTTTGCATTTAAAGGCAAACCTACCTAATCAACGCATTCTGAAATAATACATGAACCATCCTTTGAAATTCACACTTTTGCAAATGTTGCAGTGCATTTGTCCAGCCACAAATACTGTAGCCATATACTGTAGTGTGCATAAAAATGCACTTATTAGTAAAAATAATATACAAAAATGCATCATATTATGGAAACTTGCTTTGTAAAAGTGTATACTAAGGCAAAATTGCATACAAAAATGTGTTCCATTAGAATGTTGATGAATCTTTATGAGGACTTATTTAAAAAATGCAATCTGGAGACCTGAACTTAAGAGAGGAAAAACGAGAAACTGAGAGAAACCGAAATTGGCAGATTCTCCCATCCCTAATCATAATAAGGTTTCTCGTTAGGATGTATTCCAGGAGTAATATTTCAGAACTCACATTCCAGGTCAGCTTCTTCTCCTGTGAGAAAACGGATCACGGCCTCTAACTGATTCAGCTTCCTGTGATCTGGATCAATATCTGTAATGCAATAAATCCTAGAAAGAAAGAGACCAAAAATGTGATTCAGAAGTTCCTTTGGACAACTTTTCTGCACTCGTAATAGGTGTCCTGGCAAATCTGCATGCTTGGGATAGAGCTCAAACCTCAGTTGGAACAACTCCCATGATCTCTGATCTCCAGTATATACTTAAGAAATGAAGACAGTTGCCATGGCTGAGACCTGTAAGCTCCGGACCCAAATGTCCACTACTCGCAGTAATGGAGACCCTAGGCCCTAGGGCATGGGTAGGCAAAATAAGGCACAGGGGCTGTATTAGGCCCAATCGCCTTCTAAATCCAGCCCGCAGACGGTCTAAGAATCAGAATGTTCTTACATGAGTAGAATGTGCCCTTTTATTTAAAATGCATCTCTGGGTTATTTGTGGGGCACAGGAATTTGTTCACTTTTTTTCTTCAAAATCTAGTCCAGTCCCCCACAAGGTCTGAGGGACAGTGGACCGGCCCCCTGCTGAAAAAGTTTGCTGACCCCTGCCCTAGGGCATGTTCTGTGACTGAAAAATTGGTCCAGAAAGTAACATCAAAACCATCCTTTGCACCCATATCAGTGCATCAGGAACAAAGAATGTTACTTGGTTTCTAGGTCTATGCACTTGCTCAAGATGCATCACTGCATAGATATCTGGAAGCAAAGGCAAGAACTTGAATCAAATTGCTCCAAAAATATAGCTCTGCACTTCAGCTACAAATTATATCCATGCTAAGTGGGTGCAGCTCAACAATCAATCATTTGAAGATATCAGTGATGGAGCTGGATTAGGGCTACTGTAGAGAATGTTTTGATAAGAATAAAAGATTCCCGAGAATATGTAGTTCTAATTTAAGAGGGGGGGTGGAGTTGTGCAGTTTGTTTATTTAGCATCTAGGAAAGTTAGGCTCCTCACAAAAAGTTTAAAATAACACAGTGCAGTTATTTCATGGGATCCACATTGTTCCTCAGGATACAGACTTACATAAACAAATGTTGCTGCCTGAAGACAGGGCATTGGTTCATACAGGGCAGCGGGCAAAAAAAAAAAAATCCTTTTCTCCAACACTGCTAAGATCCTTTAACTGGAGATTCCAGGGACTGAACACAAGACCTTCTGCATGGCAGATGACAATCTGCCACTGAGCTTTGGCCCCTTAGATGCCAGGACCATGTTTTCTCGAGGCCTTCAATGTAAAGTCCCCAAAGCCAAGCAGCAGCTCGTTCGTCTCCTTCCCAGCCCCCCCCCCCCAAATTAGAAGAATTCCTGCCACTTACCATTCATTGGCTAAAGTCAAGTCTGGCTGCAGCAGATCATGTAAACCTGAAACCAAAAAGCAAATGGTGCAATAAAGACTCATTTATTCACAGTCTTATGAATTCCTCTGTATGTTCAATATGTTGTTGTATCCTGTGTTTCCCCCAGGAATTGAAATGGGAGGGTGAATTTTCAGGGGGTGAAGATGAGACCTCTAGACCTCAGTGAATGTGAGCTCAGGCTGTGGGGGTGTTTAAATTATTTTCCCTCTTTAGATCACAACCCGTTTCCTGTTTATAGGTCTTCCTGTTTGAATCACATGGTTTAGATGTGTTATAAAACATGGGTTCTAAAATTCCACATTCTGAGAAAGGGGTGTGGCCCAGGAAAGGTCCTGGGGGCCAGACAGAGAGTCCAGGAAGACCATATCCCACTCCCAGGCCTGAAGTTCCTCACTACAGGTACATATGAACCAGTTTTTATTTGGGTAATTTGGGGAACGTGTTCCCATAATATGTATTTCGGGGATTTAATTAATAGGCTTCTATTGCCAAGTTCCTGATTCAAACAGGGAAACAAATACTTAGGAGATGTGGCAGTGTTGTGTGGCAAAGGAAAGAACAGTTTGAGATATGAACCCAGCTATGTTAAAACAAGGCAATGTTCCATCAGTTCTCCCTGTGATTGCTTGATGAAGCTATGCCACGCATCCTACCTTCTTCCACTGAAGTGTCCCCAAGCAGGATGTATTCACCATGCCCTCGCGATAGAACAACTCCCAGACTGTGGATTAAGAGATGAAAGAGAAAATGTTTTTCAGCAAGGAGACTTGCAAAGGCCTGTATTGTGTGGTGGAGCTACTACTGTAATAAACACCAACTTACTTGCACTGAAAATTTCTCCTCATTTACACATTGCTGAATTAACATTCTAAAATGTCAAACTTAGATTTTGATAGCGTAAGTTGAATGCTGCCATGAAAAACTGATTTTTAAGTAGTGAATCATCACTTAAATTGAACTCTCATTACTGAAACATACATTGTGAAATTCCAAATTACAGGAAATTACAGGAAAAGAACTCTAAGGCTAGAAAGGACCTGAGAATGAACTAAGTCCTTAAAAGTAACAGCATATGGTGCAGCCCTTCTAGGAGTATAGCACTTTGGGACGTCATTGGGTGAATATATGACCAAGTGAGGCCAGCAACAAAGTGTTGCAGGATAGAGTAATCCTGCTCAAGCCAGCCACCCATCCCCATTTCCAGGATACTCTATTTCATAACCTACCAGTTTTCCATCCCTACTCCCCACCTTAGGTCAGTTAGTATTTTGTGGCCACTGGTCACACCCACTCTTCATTGGGCTTTTTCCCAATCCTTAACGCTTAAAAAAATATATGTTTTTGTACTTCTCCAAACTTTGATGGTTCCCCCAAGCCTGCAGCTGCCTCCCTCTGGTGTGTGGATGATGCCAGTTTGACTGCAATCAGAGTTAGATGTATGTATTTATGTTCTCCTTTATCAAAGTCTTGCTGTTCATTGAAATATATGAAGTGTTCTACCCCATCTTTTCTCTGAGGCCCAGGCTTTCATTTTTAATACAGGGAGAGCATGTTATCTTCCACCTATATTTGGTATAGTCCATGATATATCTGAGCATGTAATTCGGTCCTAAAGCAGGTCTTCCTCAGATTAACCTCGCTATTGAGACTACCATGTGCTTAATTAAAAGCAATCTAGATGTCTCCACAAGTGAGCCAAGGCAAGTGGTCTGACTGTGCAGATGTCTCCCACCTCCTAGCCCATATAAACATCGACAATGCTTATTAAAATGAGATATCAAGTGCTGCATTTTAGATGCTCTTTCTTTTAATCCAGAGGCGCAGAGGTAAGTTGTAGTCACTTTTTAAAGTTCTTAAATAAGTATAAATCAGAGATGGGAAACCGGGGACCCTCCAGATGTGGTTGGATCAACCCCCATGGGCATAGCCAGTGGTCAGGGACAGTGGGACTTGCAGTGCAGCAACATCTGGAAAGCCACATGTTTCCAACCCTTGCTCTAAGGGACCAGCCCACTCACCTAAAGGGTGTGCCGCTGATATCAGTAAAGAAATAGTCATTAGTGAGGAAGAGAACCCGTTTCTGGAAAAGAAGAGAGAGAGAGAGAAATCACAACCGGAAGTGTAGTTTTGTCTCTTAAATGTGACCACTGGTCATGTCCAAATAGCGGCTGCATTTCAACAAGGGTAGTCAGGATCTCTCCAAAGGTCCTGCTCCGTCACCTAAAGAGTGTTGTCTTCTTATTGGAGGAATTTATAATTTTCTTGGGTGTTGCTTTTTTGGAACACCAGACAGGAGTCACTCCATACATGCATTAAAGAATCTCAAGACAAAGGCAACCCCCTGGTTAAAGAAAACTTAAATCATATGAATTAGAAGTGATTAATTAATTTTGTATACCTGAATTGAAAAACAACAACTGAAGAAAAACACAAACATCTTTCGCTTGTTTTTAGGTGATGCACCAACAGGTCGCAGCAGGTAGCATCTGAGAAGCACTTCTCCCACTGTCACAACACTAGAATTGCTGAATGTTGGAAGATTCAGGACAGAAAAAGATAAAGTACATTGAAGGGATTGTGACAGTTTAGTTCATGAGACTTAAGATCTACTTTGGGAGAGAAGCAGAATCCTTCCAGTAGATCTCATTGCAGCAGTGACTCTGATGAGGTATTAAATCCGTATAACCTTGCTCCAGGACTAGAGGCATCCACACCAACTGCCATGGGAAGCCCTCAGACCTCCAGTTAAGCAGCCCTGCATCAAATGCCTGCACCTTTGCTAACTCGCAGGTTGTTGTTCTTGCGGGGCCCTTTCCAAGTAGGATTATCTGTGACAGTGAGGTCTCAAACCTGTTGCCAGCTTGCTCAGACTTCTCTTGCAGGTGACACAATATGTGCTGGAGGCGGACAGGATTAGAATGCAAAGACCACCGACAGCAAAATCAATGGGCAGATTGCTCCAGCCCTGCTTCAGTACACCTCAAGTGTTGCAAAACCCTCCAAAGAGCCTTATCTGTGCCAGACCTGCCATAACTCAACAGATGGGCTAGATGGAGTTACCAAAGGGATTGGAGACATGGGAGAGAAGGTAGCAGAGCAGCAGGATCAGAGTCTCTGTCCTTGTAGCTCACTTCCACTATCACTGCAGTCACATGAGACTGTCTCTCTCTCCACTATTGCCCCTCCTCCTGCCCGTTAAGCACTAATCCTCAGTGTACTGGAAATCCATCTGGCACAATGACAGCAGGCATTGAGGGGGATCGAGGCAGAACTGTCCATGCATCACAAAGATAGATTGCTGGCTGCCAGCTGAGCATTTCAAAAATATCTTGGCTGACTTCATTAACTGGCCAAGCATGGACAGCCCAACAGCCCTGAAGGTTTGTGTGTTGGCTGCCCAGAATCAGGTGGCTTCCCTATGTTCAGCCTGCAGGGCAGGGGAAGGAAAATGCCCACCTCAACTTATAACTGTGAAAGATTCAAGGCTTCCCTCTGTGTGTCCGATTCTCATTCCTTTTATTGCATTTGGGTCACTTTTAATATTTTACTCTGGGATTCCTACCTTGCCATAAAAACTTATTGGTCCATCACTTCTTACAAAACGCCTCACAGTGACTTACAAAATATTAACATACAGAACTTACCAAACACTTAAAATCCATTAACAGAGAATAAAGCATAAGAATAATAAAAGTGTTCAGCCACCCATAAGCATAACAAGGACAAATTCTAGTCCATTCCACATTAGGATACACTTGTCAAGTGTAGTAGATGTCAGGATTGTAACAGGGCTTTCCCACCTCATTCCTGCAACCCCCTCCAGCTCCTGAAAAGCTACTTGGTAATTCCTCTGGCATAGTGTGGGATATGTATGTGTTCCGGGTGAGGGTGAATCCCAAAATGAGACATGCACCCTTTATGCAAGTGGAAGTGCCTTCCTTTCACACAAGGGGCTGCCTTGTGTGTTCACTGTGTTCAGGTCAGTATTTCTTAGCATAGTCTCCTACCTCACAAGGTTATTGCAAAGATAAAATAGGACAGGAAGAGAAGTCATTATATTTAAAGTAAGAGAAAACAGTAAAAAAAAAGTAGGGAAATGAGAGAAAATGAAAAATGACTTTGATAAAAATAGGCACTATTAAGCATTTTGTATTAAGAAATATCCATTTGAATTGCTGAGAGAAAATTATACTGCAGTTTTATTTTAGGGGGGGGGAGTAATAAAAGATTTGTTTTTTAAGCATTTCTGAGTAACTCTTCTGCCAGACACGAAAAGTGACAAGACACTCTCGACTATAGCAGGACATGATACAGTGCAGGGGTGCCTATGAAAGAAACGGATAAAACTTGATTTCATCAGATTTCCCCCACTCTGCCAGTTTCCTTTTCCCTGTTGTTTTTGTCTGAGTATGGATGTTAACTGGTAAAGTACATGAACTCTATATCATGCACACAGATTTACACAAAGGAGTCTTGAAATCTCAATTCCAATATTTAATTAATAAACGCTAAGGGAAAAGTGAGCTATTTTGTGTAACTTGAAAGTCGACTGAAAGTCTGTGAGCACAGAACAAGGGCAAGCAAAGGCTGAAGTTAATGTGTGTGTGTGGAAAAGGAAGAAGGTGAGAAAAGGCATGGAATAAGGAGCTCCCATGGGACCTTTCTTTGCTAACCTTTAAAATGCTTTTTCATTGTGCTCTGAGAGAAAGAGAAAAATATACAGTTAGCTAATTGAATTTATGGATGATCCAAAAGAGCTGAAAGATTTGCATTGCCAACCTGCATAAGAAAAATGTATAGGAGCTATAAAAAGGCTAGTAAAACTGGGTAAAGACAATTGGTCGATGATGATGATGATGATGATGATGATGATTACATTTATATCCCCCAATGAGCTCAAGGTGGCATACATTGCTCTTCCTCCTCCTCATTTAATCCCCACAACAACCCTGTGAGGAAGGTTAGGCTGAGAGACACTAACTGGCCCAAGGTCATCCAGTGAGCTTCGTGGATGAGTGAGGATTTGAACCCTGGTCTCCCAGGTCCTGGTCTGACACTTTAACCACTGCACTGGCTTTCAGGAGAGTTGAAGGCATCTTAAACAATGGTTAATGTATGAACTGCCTCTACAGCAGATCTCAGGTCATAAGAATATTAATCTGGGGAGAAATGTTCTGTCAAGAGGTTTAACCAGAGGTGGCAGTAAAGCATGCGTGTGGCAGTGGTGGACACTGGGCCTTTAAATTCCAGCAGTGCCCTGTGTGACGCACCCACCAACCTCTTGCCTTCCATTGTTCATCATTGTTGTAGCACCCAGATTAAGGGAAGTAATAGTACTGCCACTCTATTCTGTCTTGGTCAGACCACACCTGGAATACTATGTACAATTCTGGGCGCCACAATTTAAGAAGGATACTGACAAGTTGGAATGTGTGCAGAGGATGGCATCCAAGATGACAAAGGGTCTGGAAACCAAGCCTGATGAGGAACAATTGAGGGAAGTGGGTATGTTTGGCCTGGATATGAGGAGACTGAGAGGAGATATGACAGCCATCTTCAAATATTTAAAGGGCTGTCACACAGAAGATGGAGCAAGCTTGATTTTTCCTGTTCTGGAGGGTAGGACTCAAACCAATGGCTTCAAGTAAAAAGAAAGGAGATTCCAACTAAATGTATTTCTGACAGTAAGAGCTATTTGACAGTGGAACAGATTCCCTGGGGAGGTTGTGGACTCTCCATCATTGGAGGTTTTTAAGTAGAGGTAGGATGGCCATCTGTCACCTGCAGGGGGTTGGAGTAGATGACCCTTGGGGTCCCTTCCAACTCTGCAGTTCTAGGATTCTATAACATCAGCTCAATATTTTTGACACTGACTGGCAGCGGCTCTCGTGAATTATAATATTCTGTATTTATGCGCCTGTAATAATTGAGTATAATCATGTTACATAATGTAAATTACAGTTTATTAAGAAATAAGCAAGTCCCACAACTATTGTCTATCTCAAGGTTAAAATGGGCAGAAAAGGGCGAAAGAAACATGCAGGCCGCTGGAAAAAAAAATATTCAAAACAAAATCCATAATAAGACGGAAAACTCTAAGGAGCAATAACAGGAAAAGACATGATGGTAGGTAAGGGATAACTAATTAGGTTCCTCCAAAATGTCATAAGGCAATTAGAAATGAAACATTGTATTGCACCCGGGGAGCTTCATGACAAATAACTACAGCAATACAAATTTGCAAGAAATGATTCAATTTCACAAAAAACTGGGGTTCTGCCTCCTGAATAATCCTAAACAGGATTTGAAAGAAGTCTTGCAAAGAACAAAATTATGTTAATTAGTAAAGTAATGTAAAGCTGGACACACCCTCAAAAGTTCACTTAGTTTGACTGCCCTGCACTGGAGCAGAATATGGTTTCCTCTTATGGCTTCCATTTCCCTGGGGTGATAATGTTATGCAGGTCCTTTGTGAGGCAGAAAACAGATGGAGGGCCATGGTAAATTTTTCATTAGCAAATTTTGAAATTAATGTAAGTGATGCACAGATACAGAGTCAAAAGAAATCAAACTGCATAATATTGTGTAGTGATTGAAGGACATGTTACATAGAAGCTTGAAGACATAGGCCCTGACAGATCTCCTTTGGATGTGCATAGCAACATGTCAGGGTAGACTGGGACACATGACTTTTCAAAAACAGCCATTGTTGCCAGTGTGGTGTAGTGGTTAAGAGCGGCAGACTCGTAATCTGGTGAACCGGGTTCGCGTCTCCGCTCCTCCACATGCAGCTGCTGGGTGACCTTGGGCCAGTCACACTTCTCTGAAGTATCTCAGCCCCACTCACCTCACAGAGTGTTTGTTGTGGGGGAGGAGGGGAAAGGAGAATGTTAGCCGCTTTGAGACTCCTTCAGGTAGTGATAAAGCGGGATATTTTCTTCTTTGTCCCAGTAATCCTGGGAGCATAATGCAATCTTATTTGCTCCCAATTCTTCTTTATTCCACTAACTTCTGGAGAACTTGCTCAGTAACATTTTGGTTGGTTGGTAAAGACTGTGGCTATAGGATTCATTTTAGGTAAATCTTCAGGGATTTTTTAAAAAAAGAGGTTAAATGTGTGGCTTTTATTTATTTATTTTTTAAAAAATTCTTGTTTTGAACTGTACATTTATTGCTACATTTATGATTTTATGTGAATTTGCTTTAATTCTGTGCAATTGTTCCAAATGCAGGGTACCAAAACAAGAAATTATATACTCACCCCTTTATCTACAGGCACCTTCACATCCATTGAGAGGTCACCTGTTTCCCCATTGATCATTGCTGTTCGTAGCTGCAGAAGGGAACAGATGTGAATTAGTGCCTCCAGCCAGGATTGCGGTCATTTGCTTTAAAGAGGCCTGCAATAGGCAGGAGCCTTTGACATAAGCTTTTCTTTTCTCCCCCTTTTAGAATCACATCTTTAGCTAAGCATAGCGGACAGCAGGTTAAAGGTAAAGGTAAAGGTACCCCTGCCCGTACGGGCCAGTCTTGACAGACTCTAGGGTTGTGCGCCCATCTCACTTAAGAGGCCGGGGGCCAGCGCTGTCCGCAGACACTTCCGGGTCACGTGGCCAGTGTGACATCGCTGCTCCGGTGAGCCAGAGCCGCACACGGAAACGCCGTTTACCTTCCCACTAGTAAGCGGTCCCTATTTATCTACTTGCACCCGGGGGTGCTTTCGAACTGTTAGGTTGGCAGGCGCTGGGACCGAGCGAAGGGAGCGCACCCCGCCACGGGGATTCGAACCGCCGACCTTTCGATCGGCAAGTCCTAGGTGCTGAGGCTTTAACCCACAGCGCCACCCGCGTCCCCGGACAGCAGGTTAGGATGAGATAATTTCATTGATCACAGTCATCCTGGGATGCAATTATCACTTTACAACATCTGATTACTTCAATTAAGCATGGGATCTGTATCCATCAGGGCTGATTCATACTTTAAGAAGCAGTTGTGTTTGCCAAGTGCACTGCTGTCTGCTGTGAACTGGTGAAGGGCAGCAAGGGGACCCAAGCCTTGACGTACTTTTTTGCCAGAAGAACTCCTCTGATCACACATTTCAACATGAGTACCTTATTATATATCAAGACTGTTGATCTACCTAGCCCAGAAATCTCTATTCTGAATGTGGGTGGCAATCTAACACCAAGCGCATATATTATTTTACTGGAGAGGCCAGGGACCCAACTTCTAACCCATGTAAAGGACTTTGGCCTGGCTTATTCTCAAGAGTATATACTCAAATATACTAAGATATGAACTAAATCTCAATTTCGGATCTTTTCAGGTATCCTTTGCATGCTACCACTTTTGGAGGTTATCCACACATCATCATCATCATCATCATTAGAATTAGAATTAATATATCACTCTACACCTGGAAGTCTCAGGGCAGTTCACAGAACAAAACCAAAATATAAAACCACAAAATATATAATCAAAACAAAAACAACCACCCAATAACTCCCCCCCCCCAATTTTTTTTAAAGGGCATAGGATGTCAATGAACTCAAACAAAGGCCTAGTTAAAAAGGAACGCTTTTTCCTGGTGCCTAAAAGTGTATAATGAAGGCGCCCAGCAAACTTCCCTAGAGAGAACATTCCCGCTCTTTCCAGGCATAGGTCCACACTTTAAAGCTCCATGCCCTAGCATTGGGGTTTTTTGCTTCAGAGCTTTCCCTGCAGAAACCTACTCTTTAGGGCTCAATCGGTGCAAACATCAGTTTGGGTTTTCTGCAGATTGCCATTTGGTCCGATTGAGCTTTAAAGAGCAGGTTTTCACTGGGAAAACTCCTGAGCAAATAAAGGGTGTTTGGACATGGATCTTTAAAGTGCAAACCGTGTCTGGAAACAGCACAGGAAAGTAAGTGTGAAGAAGCCCTTAGTCTGGCGACTAAAAGAAACCTGGCCTTTTAGTTGTTGTGCACCACAGCGATGGAATCACCCCACCCTGCAGCCCCTGCAATGGGCTCACCTGGCCCAATCTTTTGTTTTCTTCTAACGCACTGCAAAGGGTTTCCTTTTTCCAAAGGCATTGTGAACATAGGAGCATAAGAAGCCGCCTTATACCAAGTCAGACCATTGGTGCAACAAGCTCAGTATTGTCTACATTGATTGCAAGCAGCTCTTCAGTGGTCTTACTGGGAAGATTCCCAGGCCTACCTGGAGATGCCAGGTATTGAACCTTCTGCCTGCAATTCAGATGCCCTACCACTCAGCTATAGCCTTCCCCAGTAGTTTTACTGTGACCTGCTAAGAACCCACTTTGGTGGGAGCTGGGTGAGGATGCTCTGAAATCCCAGTTTAGATACTTACAGTTTCATCCACGTCTTCCCATTCCACCTCAGAAAGATCAACACTGTTGTAGTTTGGTTTGGGCTTTAGCTTCTTCCCTTCTTTATACTGCAGTTGAGAAGTGAGACAGAAAGCATTCCTGCATTGCTCTGCTGCTTAACAAACCCTGAAATATACTCTTTTCAGTTTTAGAGAAAAGGTGTATTTCTGCTAGCTGATTAGATAATAGATAATTAGGCACATGTCTCTATTCCCTAAAGTATATCCAAGCACATTTATTTTTGCACAAGGAATGGTCGCTCAGTTGGTGTGAAGACCCAGACATTTTTCTTCCATCTAGCCCGTATCTTTTGGGAAAGTCACCTTTGCCCATCATTCAAACCACAACACACACAACCCCACAACCCTAAGCTGCAACTCTCGTCGAATAGAATGCAGCCATTACCCTTAAGGCTAAAAAGCAGAAAGGAAGCACTTTCTTGCCAGGTAAGAAGTTCAAGGACTTGAAGGACTTCATTTGTTTCACATTTGTAAAACTAGCCTGCTTTGCAATTCCCAGGCTAATACAGACAACAGCACTTCAGTTTTTGCACATCTACAAATTTTGCAATATAACTTTTGTCTCCCCTCCCCTCTCCAAAATGCATATTAAAATATGGACTCTTTTAGGTTGAAATGCATATACAAATGTGTATTTTGAGCTAAATTAGATATCAAAAAATGTGAAACTTTCTGCAGTAATAATAATAATAATAATAATAATAATAATAAGAAGAAGAATAATATGATGTTCAACAGACTTATACAGTAAGCCCACAATTTATGCACATTTAACTTGTGCACATTCAGCTTTACACTGGTTGCGGGGGGGGGGGGCAAGGTTCTGGGGAAAATGACTTTGGCAACCCCACCCTCTGTGGGATTGAACACTATGTATTTTGACTATACAGAATTTTGACTTTAGGCACAATCTCCAGAATGTAAGCCCTGTGTAAGTTGTGGGCTTACTGTAAATGAACACATGTAAAACTGACATGGTCCAGAAACAGACTGACCTGTCCATCCCTATCTGGCCCCATTTACTGCCCAGAGAAGGAGCAGTTGCAGGAAGATTGCTTCCTTCCCTCCTTGACAAAAAGAATGCTTGACTCAAAATGCTAGTTGCCCTGAGGTTTCAGAGCAGGAAGGAAGCATAATTTGGTCTCACTGATCAGTCAGAGGACTGAGCTTTGGTGTTTGCGTGTATGAGTTTGAGGTTGTCCTATTAAATTATTATTATTATTATTTAACCACCTTCTGGCAGTGCCCTCACTGTGAGAAGTGAGGTTACAGGGAACCAGGCAGAGGGCCTTCTTGGTGGTGGCGCCCGCCCTGTGGAATGCCCTCCCACCAGATGTCAAGGAAGTAAACAACTATCTGACTTTTAGAAGACATCTCAAGGCAGCCCTGTTTAGGGACATTTTTAATGTCTGAAGTTTTATTCTGTTTAATATTCTTGTTGGAGCTGCCCAGAGTGGCTGGGGAAATGATAAATAATAATTTATTATTATTATTATTATTATTATTATTATTATTATTATTATTACAACCTGTTGCAAGATGCCTCGAGAACCATTGGAATGAAAGGCAGGGTACAGAGCTTCAAAATAAAATAATTATGAATGCAGTGTGGAATGTGGCTATGTGTTCATGGGTACCCACTGGCTGGTACTCATGACATCACTAGTGATGGGAGATAAGATTTTTTTCCTCCCCATTGTAAACATGCCATCTTGTGCAGTTACTTTTATTTGAATGGACAGCCACCACTCTCATGTTCCAAACGTGATAGCAAGAGATAGCAAGGAATGATAGTTGTAGCACAGTAGTCCCAAAGCTAAGAATGGCGTGTTTGGGATGATATCGCACTGCACTGGATCACGTGAACCAGGTCTTGGTGTTTCTGGGTCACTTACCAATGGCCGGAGGTCTGGGTGAGACAAAATGTAGCCATTGTTCGTGTTCAGAAAGGCGTATCCATGGACACCCAGCTTTAAACCAAAAGTATGATAACAATTAACTTCATTAACATCCAAGCCCCTGATGCAGTATCGGCATGAGTGAAGTACTTATGCATGACAACATCCAAGGCCTTTAACTGAAGAAATACATGGATAATATTGATGAACTGACAGTGAAAGTAATGGAACCAGGCAAAATTTGAAAATGCATCGATTAGGAACATGGGAAGCTGCCTTGCACCCGGTCAGGTTATCTGTTCATGTAGCCCAGTGTTATCTAGGCTTACTGGCAGTGGCTCTCTGCAGTCTCAGGCAGGTGTGTTCCCCATCACACACAACCTGCTTTTGTTTTTGTTTTTCAAAGAAACTGGAGGGTGCCAGGAACTGAATCTGCATGCAAAACATGTGCTCTGCTGCTAAGCTATGGTCCTCCAGGGAACCATAAACAGAACAGAATGCATTAAATTTCACCTGGCAATTCAATCATATCCTGTTTCAGTCCCCAAATACTTTAATGTTCTTACAATATGTCAAAAGAGTGTGATGAAGTATCAGGTACATGCAAGTATGCACTCACTCACATATTCATGCACAAACGAATCTCTGGGGTTGCACCATATTTTCCACTTCAATTACACAGGAGTTGTGCACATTTAGACTGACACACAAACCAAGCCCTTAAAAAATGTCTTTAGATACAGAACTGATATTTTCATCTGATAGTTGCAGACTTTCCGTACTATAAAATAGGAGCAGGGAACATTTTCTCTGTAGAGGGCCACGTTCCCTAATAAGTAATCTGTTAGGGGCCAGTAGTGGATGGGGCCAGACAGGGGCAGGCATTCCCTTTCTTCTCTCTTTGCCTCTGCCATCTCTTTTCCCCCTTCCTTGCTACATGATATTAAACCAAAGACCACAGGTTTCACACCCCTGCTATAAATGGTGGCAGGGAGCAGGAAAGAAGGTCGCTACTTATCCTTATTTTACTGAAAAGGATTTAAGTTACTAACTACCTACATTTCCTACCAGGTCCCTCATTCAGTTATTTAGTGTTCCCAGAATAGTGTAACCTAAGAATGGAAGAACTGCCTTTAAGAATCAGATGAAAGTCCATGTAGCCCAGCAGTCTGTTTCCAACAATGACCAGTCAGATATCATTAAGGAGCTCTTAAGCAAGACATACAGGGACGCGGGTGGTGCTGTGGTTTAAACCACAGAGCCTAGGATTTGCTGATCAGAAGGTCAGCGGTTTGAATCCCTGTGACGGGGTGAGCTCCCGTTGCTCAGTCCCTGCTCCTGCCAACCTAGCAGTTCAAAAACACTTCAAAGTGCAAGTAGATAAATAGGTACCACTCCGGTGGGAAGGTAAATACCGTTTCCGTGCGCTGCTCTGGTTCGCCAGAAGCGGCTTAGTCATGCTGGCCACATGACCCGGAAGCTGTACACTGGCTCCCTCGGCCAATAAAGCGAGATGAGCACCACAACCCCAGAGTCGGCCATGACTGGACCTATTGGTCAGGGGTCCCTTTACCTTTAAGCAAGGCATGAACTATCCATTGCTAGCTCTTGGTCCTTGGATTCAGGGTTATATTGTCTCTGTGCACAGAGGTTCCATTTATGTACTATAAACCTCCTAGGGAGGTCACTTCGGTGCTGATAATGCAGCAATTTGACTTAACCCCTGGAGGTGCACTCTATTGCCTCTCGAGACAGCCAGGTGCCAACAACAAATTATGTGCAACCCAGTTCTTAGTTCTTAGTTAAGAATTTCCACAAGTTCTACCATGTATCTGGTTTGGGCTTCTTTTGGACGGAGGTTACAGGGGACATATGGCATTCTGTACTTTCTGCATTTATTTACAAATATACATGTCAAGCAACGATGGAGATTCAAAACTTAAGCACCCCAACTGATGTTCCAAAAGCTCACTGCTCTGCAATTAGATTTCAGGGAAGCAGGGGAGTGAAAAGAGTGTGACTTGCTCTCAGCCTGACACTGTCTGCTCTTTCTTCCAATACAGACCTGGATCACTGCATTCTTTAGGGGAGAAGGGACCCAGAATAGTTGCTGGGTGCTCAGCAGTTTTTCCATAACTATTCATAAGTCCAAATCTCTGTCCAGATATGCCTAGGGGAATCTACAACTTAGAATCACTAAGTTGGAAGGTACTCCAAGAGGACATCTTGACCACCCCAATTTCATAACAATACCAACAGCACTTTCAGTTCTCCAAGTGTTGGTCCTTATGTAGCAAAAATGGAATAGTCAATGCATAAGAGGGAGGTTTCATCAGGATGAGGGGAACCCCAAGGTCTGCAGAAGTAAATTTTTTTTTTAGAAAATAACTTAACATTGATTCTATTCCCGCAAAACAACAAATGCAATCTAGTGAAGACTGAATGTGCTCAGTGGCCTGGAATGTTGATTGATTGTTGGGGTGGAAAGAGAGAAATGGGTGGGAGTAAGTATGGAATGGTGAATTATCAAATCATCACTAACTGACAGGAACAGCAAAAAGGAACACTCCAACTAAAACATTTTGTTGCAGGTCCTACTTGTAACAGCTAATAGCTTTTGACAGAGTTAATCTCCATGAATTTTCCTAATCTATCTAAACTAGTGACCGTCTCAACAACTTGTGGCAGCGCTGCCTGAGAACAGATGCAGTACTCCGTAGGGTGGCTTTGTTATCAATATCAGGACATTCTTCTGAGATTGCCAAAACTGTGTGACAACAGCTGGACTGTATTAGCTTGATTCTTACCTTGTATCGTGGAGCCAGCTTAAGGAGTTCTCTCAAAGGAACGTCTGAGCCTACCACACCCAGGAGAATGCCATGAGATCTCTGTAAAATAAGAAGAAATTAAAATTGACAACATGCTACTCCATTCTCCTTGGGTTAATTATCATTTCCCCCATCCCCACCATCTGGTCTTGCAGAGTTGCTGTTCATTTGTGTGACAAAGCATACAGACCGTGGTGATGAAACAAGGAAGGGCAGACTGGATTAACCAGTAAACTCCCTATGGTATAATGCAGAAGACCAGGTGGATGAGAGTTACAAATGCAGCAGGAACAACAGCTCAGTGGTACCACACATGCAGAAGGTCTCAGGTTCAATACTTAAGGTCCCAGGTTCAAGACTTGGCATCTTCAGGCATCAGATAATGGGAAATACCTCTCTGTCCAAGACCCTGGACAGTTGCAACCAAAGTAGACAATACTAGATGGGCAAATAGTCTGACAAGGTATATGGCAACCTCCTAAGTTACCTATATAGCTTTGTTGCTTCCTCCCTCGCCCATTTCCAACAAAGAAAATTTGTTTCCATCCAACTTCTCATTTGATTTTTAGATTTCTGTTCTCTTAACCAACAAGACTGCTGGTCAATGGATAGAGTTTAGTGCACTAGTGCAATACCCCTGAGAACAAGCAAAAAAGGGAATAGCCATCTCATTGTTGATCAACTAGTCAGAGTTATACTGCCTCTGAACAATGAGATTTCATTCTTGGCTGTCAAGACTAATATCAAATAACAGGCCTATCCGCCATGAATGTATCTAGTCAATTTAAAAAGTCATGGTAGCAACCATTGAAACATTCTGTAGCAAATATCTTTCTGATACTTATTTATTTTACTGACAGCACAAGCCCTGTGCTTGTTTACTTAGACTTAAGTTCCACTGTTCAATGTGGCATAGTCCTAGGTAAGCGTACATAGAATTGCAGCATTGCAGTGTAATCCTGGGTCCACTTACCCATATGTAAGTCCAACATACACTGTAAGAAAATCCTATTCTGCTAAAGTGAGGAAGAGGACATTGCTCTCCACATTGCACCATCTGCCCTGGAAAACAGAAGTCATCTAGAGCACGGGACAGCAGACTTCAGGTTTGTTGGTTCCACTTTTTTTAACACAATAAGTCCAAGATCTACCTACCAACACATACCCTGTGGAAGCCATTTTGTGGCTGGTGCTCCTTGTATTTTCTGAAAATTCAGAATGTGCCCGCTGGTCCAAGAGAGTCAGAAGGCTTACTTATCCTTTATATAGTTTCACTTTTGCAAATCACAACATTAGCCTAAGGTGGATTCAGGGTAGTGCGAGCTGTTCAGTCGCACCAGGTGCGCAGCCAAGGAGGGTGTCTTCTCAAAGCCTAGTAAGGGCTTGCCTGGCTTCAGTAAGGAGGTTTCCTACCTCCTTCCCAAAGCCTGGCAAGCGCTTACTGAGCTTTTAGAAGGAGATAGGAGGGCTCCAGCACCCCACCAGAGCCTCACGCCTCCTTCCCAAAGCTCAGCTTAAGCCAGTGCCGGGAGGGCAACAAATAGCCTCACACAGGACGGCATATTATGAAGATCTGCCACTGCATTAGCCTTCTCTCTGCTTTCACACTGAGAAGTATCTCCCTGAGAGCATCATGCTTACCGTTTCATTCTTCTTGCTGAAAACTGGCATAGCCACCGTTGTCATGAGCAAGAGGCTTTGGGCTTGAGATGCAAAGAGCTATCATATAGAAAACAAGCAGCATATTAGCAAGTGGGACAGCAGTAAGAGCATAAGGGGAACCAGCCACCACTGGAAATGCAGCAGAAAAAGTGTACTGAAAAGCACCCTTTAAAAAAAAAATGCCTAAGGGATGTTAGAAAAATGGTCCATTTAGAGGAGGGTGAAAAAGGTGCCTTATCAAAGATGGCAGGGAGTATCCAAAACAGTGGAATATAATATTTACTAGTGACGACGCTTATGCATGTCCAGGTTTAACATGGCATCGCCTGAGGCACAAAGACATAGCCAAAGCACATGATAATCATAGGTGCATGAACAATATATACAATGTATTCTAAAAAGACATAGATAAATTAATGCAGGTGACACCATGGGGATACATGAAAACCAGGGGAGAGAAGCAGAGCACAGAGGGCCTACCCAAATGTGAGACATTTACCAGGACCTCAGATAAACGGGAATGGCGATCGCACAAGGATAAACTGACATGGCACTATACAGAAGACAGTGAATTTGGAAAATTGGAAGGTTGAAACAGATAATGTAGGGTGTGTGTGCATGAAATGATTATAGTATAAAACACTAAACATAGACATCACAAATAAAACACGGACACACACGTGGTATCTATTCTCAGGAGAAGCAACCCATTTGGCCTGGTACAGCTGTTCCCCTTTAGCAAAGTCAAGAAATGGTCTATTATCACCATTTCACAGCATGGGGGTCCTTGAGAGCCAACCAATCAAAACAGCAGCCAGACAAACCAAATGCTGGAATTTTTTAATCATTTGGCTAACATTAATTTTGGAAAAATTATGCAGCAGAAATAAGCATAGTTTAAACATGCTGCAGTACATGGTATGTGTGGGTATATGGGTGGGTGGGTGGATAGGTGGGTGGGTGTGTATGGGTGTGGGTGGGTGGGTGTATATATGTATGTATGTATATATATACACACATGTATATATATATACACAAACTATATATATACACACACACACACACACACACACACAATAGATAGATGATAGATAGATATAGTGTGTGTGTGTGTGTGTGTGTGTGTGTGTGTGTGGTATATATCAGAAATGAAATGAAATGAATGAAAGGAAATAAAGAGACTTCCTGTACATAATCTCAAACAATCAATGTTTCTCAGACCTATGGAGAGCCTTTTGTAAGTATTCACATCACCTCACATACATTATCTGTGTAATCCTGACTCTGCTATTTTAAGCTGGGACAGTCTTAATATAGATGACTTGTGCAGGGCTGTCCAGTGAGCTTGTAGTCGAGTGGAGATTTGTACCAGAGACTTCCAGCCCATGGGCCGTGCTCTGAAGTTCTACTCTACAACAGCACATCACAACCTCACAAATACATCCAGAGCTATCCATATCCTTCCCATGCTGTATAGCTCTATCACTGCTGTACAGCCAACTTTTTCCCACTGTGGATGTATGGTTTAGTTACAGCTAGATAAACTAGTACAGAACATGTACTAATGACACCCAGAGAAATAGTTGGTGTTCACAGAACACAAGGCAGATTGTTACCTCCTCAGATTGTGGCAGCTAGCAAGAGATGTGGGTGACAAATGAATGTACACATTAATGAATGGACAAACAAATGAACACACAAACTAATGATACATACAGTAAGCAGCAGAGACAAATGCAAGCATGAAATGTAAGAAGAGCAAACTAATAACCCAGGAGCAAAACCATTCTGAAACAGTCGAAAGCAAAGACTGATAAAACACAATGCAAGTTGAACAGCTGACAACTTCCAGCATACAGTAGGCTTGGCAAAACAAACTACCACGAAAACTTCATGTCCAATCTCACATTAGAGAATAAATAGCTATGCACCTTTTTAGTGACAGCTCTGGGTTTGACAGGGACCTTGTACCCTCTAGTTGGCCTCCTCCCCTCCTCCAGTGGTGGGCCCATCTGGCAATTGTGAGCATGTGTGGACAGCAGCAGCACATGAAGATGTGCTCCAACTAGTGTCAGACAGCTGTCTTTAGTCATAATTTCTGGGGCCAATCTAGACCTGATAGTACATGCATTTTTGTATTTAATGTGCATTTTAAGTATTTAATTCAAGAATCTGCTACTGAGGGGTCAGATAATTATCAGGATCACAGTGGGCAGGAAGGAGGAGTTTCAGCCTTTCCTCCCTTGCTTTTCGCACTGGGCGGAAAGCATTGCCTTCAGAGGAGTGGGCATTGCCTTCAGAGGAGTGATTCTGACTGCAGCAGGGGAGGAAGGGGTTAAGTGTTCCATTCCCAGCTGCTATGATCCTGATAGATATCACCCTGTTCCAATAAGATATTTTAGCTAGCATGCTAAATGCATTTAATATCACATCTACTTTAGCCCTTCATTCCCCACAATGCTTCCACTACAGCAATCTCCATGGGATTGTAATACATGAGCAAGGTGGTACAGCTCTGAGCAGTGGGCTGGGGAGGAAAAAGTAGAAGATCTATATTGGGGCCTAGTGTGGCACTGGAGACCTGGCAACTGCCCAAGGATGCCGTAAGCAGATGCCTTATATGGGAGTTGAGGCAACATGTACAAAGCACATAAACGTGGCCACATCATCTTTTTTTGTTTTCTAGTGGTCACCAAAAAGAACATCAACTCTGATCTATTAGTGGGGTTCACACTAAAGTGTTATGGTGCACACTTTGCATCAGTAGGCATAGACTTATGGCCAAGCGGCAGAAATACATCAGTGATGGGGAATCCTTTACAGCTCAAGGGCCTCACTCCTGAGGAGAAACCTCTAAATGCATCCTGAATTTCTTTTTGTGCAAAATTCGAGTGGGAACTCTACTTTTTGGTCAGAGAAGTCCCCACTGCCAAAGAGACAAGGCACTATACAATTACAGGGCCAGATTGTTTCTTTGGTAGGAGAAACTTGCAGCAAAGCAAAAAACCGAATCTCTGTTTCTATGTGTTGTTCCTCTACTCCTCAAACTTAGCCTTGCTTTGGATCTTGGACTAAGTCATGAAGGACAATACTTGACACCTTAATGTATGTCAGCTCCTCTGTGTGACAGATAACAGACTACAGCACTGAAGCCCCACTGGGCTGGAGGCTGAGTGACCCATTTCCTGAGCTGAAAAGCTAATCTCTTTTCCTGTTGATAATCTTTTATAAAGTGTCTCTGCAGAGTTCACAGAGGACAGAGATACCACTTAAGTCAGGGGTGGGGGACCTCCAGCCCACAGACTTAATTAGCCCCATATGGCCTGTGAAGCCTGGCCCTTGACCAAGTCATGCCTAGCTACCCTCCACCTGATGTCATATGATGTCAGTTGTGGGGCAGGTAAATATGTGTTAAAAGATTAATTATAGCAGACTACTGGATCCTTTCTGACCCAAAAGGGGGTTTGCAGCCACCACTGGTCAGCAGTGCCTACAAAACACCATGCACAGTGCTTTGCAAGCCCCAATCTGAAAATCAAGGCTTGCAATGAATGAACAAAGCAGGCAAAAAATTGTGTTATCAGTTGATCGGCAGATGTACAGCTCTGCTCACTTGTCAAACCTGGCCCATGCAGGGTGAGGGACATTGGGATCTGACCCATTCACCAGATTCAGTTCTCCATTCCTGATGTAAGTTATGCTATGCCTGGATCACCATGGAATTTCAAGGATATCACATAGAAGCAAAGAGCAGCTAAATGACATCTGTGGAACCTTTTCAAAAGGCAGTACTCATAATAATCAGCTGCTGCTGCTAACTACTTCCAACTTATATGTGTATTTTATGTTGTAAACTGCCCTGTGATCTTTGGATGAAGGGTGGCATATAAATTTAATAAATAATAGTAATAATTAAGAAAACAACTCTAAGAGACCTTTGTCTCTCACCCACCTTAAAGCTTACCACTTCTCAAAACACTTACCGCACTGTCCATGTAGGCTTCAGTCCATATGATGTCATGATCGTGGTTGATAACCATTGGTCGACTGAGTACATGCAAGTATTCCATTACATTCTCCTGGACGTCAGCCAAAGTTGATATCTGTGTGTAGTACCCTAACACAAATAATAAGTATTCCCGCCCCCAATAAGAGAGTTAGCTTCCTTGAATTCCATGTCTGAATCTGTATTCTACCAATTGGAGTAGTTGCTTCAGTCTCCAAAACAGGTTTTACTACATATAAACATGGCAAAATCCTATTTGCATGTGTGCACTGAAGTCTAGCACAAGCTGGAGGACATTCCAGAAAATCCAATGAAGGGTAGGACATGCATTTTTAGAATAAATTGAAATAGGTACAACTTCTTGTTTGATTGCATTAAAAGTTACCAATCTGAAGATGCCCCTTTGTGTTCTTACCTCTATCATTCTTAATCCTAGTAATGGGGAATTTGTGATCCTCCAGCTGTTGTTGGACTTACAGTTCCCAACACCCCTGATCTTAGGCCATGCTGGCTCAGGCTGATAAAAGTTCAAATCCAACATAATCTGGAGGGTCACAGGTTCTCCATTCTTGCTTTACCCCATGCCTCCTAAGATCCTTCATCCCATGTATCCTAGCCAAACTCTATACAGTATCCACGTTGAAAACAATTTAAGAAGCAACAAATCCCAACCAAAACTCTTTCTATCAAATCTTGCTGCGTTCACTCCCCACCTCATTAAAAACTCCTTAATTCAGCCCCCTTTTATATCCAACTCAATCCTTCTCACAATTCTAAGGCACTTGGCAGCACAGGCTAAGTAGCAGACATATCTCGGAATCCATTCTGTCTACTGCAGCAGCTTTGGAGCTTTTCAGACTCAAACTAGGCTTGTAGGTTATACAAAGGCCAAGGTCTAAGAAGGGATGGCTGCAGTTTGCTTATGATAAATGACTTGCAGCAAAGGATGTTATTTACCTTTGTTGTTACATGCTATCCATTTCACATTCTGTGCAAAGCTGACTTCCCTCCCGATAAGATATGTAAAAACCCGTACCTGTGAAGCAAAAATGCAGACGTTGGAATTAAATGTAAAATAGCCTATTTGTCTGACATTCAGTAGAAATACCTTTTCTAGATCTCACAGCTGTAAGGTGGAATGGGAAAGATATGCAGTATTGTACGTTTTGTATACTGACATTATGCAATAGAGTTCTCTTGGTAAAAGTATGTGAATAAGAGTTCCTGCTAGTAAAAATAACATTTTAGACCTATTTTGGAAAGATCAAGGGTAAATAGCAAAGGTAAGCAGTACTTATGGGAGATCTTAACATCCTTCTACCAGCAAATACATCAGTTGAAGGAGTATCATATTTTCCCACCAAACAATACTGCATCCTTGCTGTGAAATGCTATTATACCCACATACTAGAGTTTGCTATTTGGAAAACAGTTGTAAGTGATGTGCTCAGACTATTTTGAAATGTTAAAATAATGACTTGCCCCCCAGTTATAGGATGTTATCCAATTGACACATCTTGCCAGCGCAAAGATTTCCACTTGCACAATGGAACTCTACCCTAATCTACTCCGGCGCACCCCCCCCCAAAAAATTAATAATCTTGCGACGCTCTGGAACATATTTAGGGAGGAAGAGTCAGTGGAGAAGAGGGCAAGGAAGTTCCTCTGCACCAGCAGAAATCCTTGAGCTGATGGGACATGTTACTTGGATACTGTTCATAGACACTGGGCACTTCCTACTTTACTACTCTAATTTTTATAAGTAGTAGTTGTAATAATATTGTTACTATTGTTTACTACAGGGGTCTGGAACCTCAGGCTCTGGGAAAGCGCCTTTTTGCCAGGTTCTTAGAACTCTTCGCATGCCATACCCCTCACTGGTCCTACTTTACACCCTGAACACTTTCACCTGGCTGGAATGTGTCCTTGAACTCTTGACTGCCTGGATGGAGAATACGGAGCAGTGTGTGGATGTGTATAGAAACTAGCTTTCTGTACAAAGGTAAAATTTACATTTGGTGCTCCACCCATTTTTGCCTCTAGCGCCACCCACCATTGGCATGTGGCTCTTGGAAGGTTGCCCAAAATAATGCAGCCCTCAGGCTGAAAAAGCTTCCCCACCCTTGATTTATTATCACTTACCCGGGAGTAACTCCCATCAAATTCAGTGGGGCCTACGCGTATAGAATTGCATTGCTAGTTAACACCATGTGCTACTCAGTACCTGATCAGCAGCTCCTGACTCATTCCACACCAATCTGTCCTCTTTACTCTTTAACATTCAGCACTTAAGAAACAAACCTTACGATCGGGCCAGTTGAACTTTTCAAAGACATATTCGTAATCTTCCATAGCTCCATCAGTGATCAGCATGATGGCTTGGTTACAAAGACCTCCTTGACCAGCATTTCTGAACTGGAAACAGAATGGAAACAATAGTGATATTAATTATCTGACTGGTACAAATGGGGATTAAATGAGTTTACTTGGAAGGTTCAGGGTTAGGAACACGGGTCCATCTAACTCAGTATCATTTACTGACAGCAACTGACAGTGTCTCCCCAGCCCTACCTGGAGATGCCAGGGATTGAGCATGTGACCTTTTGCAAGAGCTATAGCCCTCCCACGTCATTTAAATTATGGCCTTATTTAAAAGCCCTTAATTATGACCTAGGGGAAACTCTGATCAATTACAGCGAGAGTCTGCTCAGAAGCAGAACCTTAGTAAGAATCCTCATTATTCAGAATGCATTTCCAAGGGATCTAGATCTTAATTTCTAAAATAAGAAATGCTGTTATTTAAGTTTTATGAGAAGTCAGGCATTTGTCTTAAAAACCTTTTATCCAACCTTCTTGTGGTGAGAGGAACACACTTTGCACATGCCCTGAGGCACACTTGGTGGTTATTTCATATGAAGCAGGCATTTGCTCCGGCATGGACAATAAATCCTAGGACTCAGCATTGCTAAACCCTCGCTTGAATGAAACACTGGTCCAGAGTATCATATTGTTACTAATTTGTTGTGCTGTACATAATCCACATGCCTTTTCTCAAAGTTGTGTTTCTATTGGGTGGTGGTGGAGGGTTCAGTTTAAAGTGAAATACAATTATTTTGTGCCTATGGAAATCCAGGATCCCCCGAAATTTCACCTACCCTAAATTTGAAGAATTTGTGGCTTTTAGTGGATTTTCAGCTCACTAGTGCAACCATCATTATCAACACTGGACTGTTTTTTGTCCATTCCCTGATACAGTTTCTCAGTAGTACAACTATGCTGCTTGGCACTAATGAGATTTAATCATCATGGCATATCTATTTCTAGCTGAAGCACCACTTGGTAGGGTTACACATATGATGGTTTGGATGAATCCTATTATTCTGGTGCAAAGCAGAGCAATTGCATCTCATTCTCATTCCTTCAAATGTCTCCAGTCTAACCCTTTCCACCTCTTCTGTCATTTGAAAAGCAGACTCAATCAGTCATTCTGTACTCTCAAACCACTGAATAAATTGGCATGATGCTGAAATATGAAGGACAAAGTTCTGATTAAATGCAACACCTAACTCAATGGCATCATTGCTAAGGAAACAGATTGGGGCCACCTGTTCTCGTGGGAGCTAACAACCTCATGGTTTACTTTCTGATACTACAGACCACAGCTGTAACCCAACAGTGGAACAGACTTCCTCAGAAGGTGTGGACTCCACCTTCGCTGGAGGTTTTTTATGTAGAGGTTGGATGGTCATCTGTCATGGATGCTTTAGCTGAGATTCCTGCATTGCAGGGGGCTGGACTAGAACAAGGGTTGGCAAACTAAGGCCTGTGGGCCAGATCAGGCCCAATTGCCTTCTAGATCCGGCCCCGGGGACGGTCCGCGAATTCAGGCAGGTGGCATAGTGCGCACGCGATGGTTTTTGCGACTCAGTCAGGCTTGGGGGTCAAAAGTGAGGCGGGCAGCTGCTCAAGACAAGCCCCTTCTACATCTGTCATGCACACGCAGCAATCTTTTCTTCTGGGGCGGGGGGTGGGGAAGAGGGAAAAGGAGCCACAGTTCGGATTTCCACCATGGAGCTGCCGGTGACTGACCTCAGGAAGGGCAGTTGCGGTGGCAGAGGCTCAGAGGCACCTCAGGAGCGATGCCTACCAGTGTCTGTGGCGGCGGTGCTCCCCGTCAGAGGAAGTGGGGAGTGCCTGGGCGGCTGCACTCTGGAACAATTCTGCACTCTGCTGGGGAGGCCACTTGTTAGCTACAGGGTGTGAGCCATGGAAAGGAAAACAGCCGCCTCCACCTCGTCTTCCCTCACACAGGGAAAATAACGTTTTTGCTTGAGCGGCGCCAGCCTGACTTAGCGTGGCCAACAGCTTTTCCCTTCACCCACGGATGCGCACACACTCTCCAGGGCTGACAGGAATGGCGAGCTTACCTCAGCCCCCCACCCCCACCCCACCTTACTAGAGAAATAATAACTGTCTATGCGTAAAACGCAAAGGAAGCAGTGTGGGTGTATGAGGGAACACCCCCCCCAAAAAAATTCACATTTGTGCAATGTTGGGGTTGGTCCAAATAAGGGTTTTTGCCAAAAATGTCAGTCATAATCATGACAACATATAGTCCTGCCTCCCACAAGGTCTGAGGGACAGTGAACCGGCCCCCTGCTGAAAAATTTGCTGACCCCTGGACTAGAAGATCCTCAAGGTCCCTTCCAGGTCTACAGTTCTACGATCCTTCTTTGTCATGACAACATCACAATTTCATTGTAGTCTAGAGTCAAACACTTAATAAATGTGTGTGTGCGTGTGTGCCTACGTTCCTAAAATAACACTGTCCAAATATGTTGACATCATATTCTCTTGCTGTAATTTTAGCCAACATGCCCATCAGCAGCTTTTGGTGCTGTCACAGAGGGTTTTTGTCACTGTTATCTGGAGAACTTCCTTCTCCTGCAGTGCATTGCCATAATTGCCACAGTGCTGCAGGACATGGAATGAAGGCAGCATGGAGAGAGAGAGAGAGAGAGAGAGAGAGAGAGAAAGACCTTTATCCCCACAACATTTCTTACCTCCCTCAGGATTCTGAAGGATTCTGTCAAGGCTTTATTCACTGTCCCAACTCCTTTTGCTTGCAACTCATCCACCAGCTGCTTGAAGTGCTAAGCAAAGAAGCAAGAAAGGTTTTCTCATAGCATTAGACAGTTTAGTCTTCTTCAACCTGGTGCCCTCCAAATATTGTTGGACTACAACTCCCAACCACCCTGATCATAGGCCATACTAGATGGGGCTGATGGGAACTGTAGTCTTGGGATGGAAAAATCTGCCTAATTTGGTTCTCACAGCTTCTCTTTTTTCCAATCTTAAATACAGTTTTCTGTGTTTCTGCAGCAATTTGTGAATTCCATACTTTAAAATTCTTATGAAAATTCTTCAACTTTTTAGTGTTAATTTCTCCTAATTTCACGTTAGTGTGCAGTTTCAACCAATGCATACATTTTTGCAAAAGATATAATCCTAACACGTATATGGTATATATGTGTGTGTTATTTTCACCAATATGTTCATTTTTAGCAACACATTCCCCTCATATATGCATTTTTTTAAAACACTGTTTGGTTTGAGAACTGCATAGCAAAATTCAGTGCAAATTATGAAGGATAGCTATGTTTCGATTCTCGCATTGTTTCAGACACTGCAAATTTGATAAATTCAGCTTTAAATGTGTACTGAATTGAATTTCTTTTCCATGCTTATTGCAGTTCAAAACATCTGGATTTCACCACCAGGCTGAGATAAAGAATAATGCACAATCATTATTTATTATTATTAAATTTATATACCGCTTAATATTTAAAACAGTCTCTAAGTGGTTTATAAAGAAGAAAATTTAAAATTATTACACACACACACACACACACACCAGTTCACACTCAATAATGCGCCTAAATATGTCCCTAGAAGTCCAGTACTTACCTCTCTGTTATCTCTGTCTGCTTGAACCAGGATCCCCTTGAAACAGGATTCAACATAATGAACATAATCATTGTACTGTAAAGGCAAAAAGGGGGGGGGTAGAGTGACTAGAAGAAAAGGAATCTTCCTTAGAGAGTTACAAAGGTTTCAGGAGATGTTGTTATGTATAAAGAACAACCATCACAGCTTTTGAAAGCATACATTTTAAAATGCAAGATTCCACAAAATACCTCCCCATGCTCTTTGGAAACAAATCAAGGCATAGATTCACACTAGACATTCCCTCACTAAAATGCCAGCAATATGTGTAATTTAAGAAGTGGATAGCCTTGGTTGCCAATATCCTGTTGCATTCCACAAGTAAAATCTTTACCTGAATTTTTAAGTTCTTGGTTTGCTCTTACTCCATCCCCCACCCTCACAAGACTGAGCCAAGCCCAGCAAAGCTTTGGCAGGCAACTCTTGCTAGGCCTGATGGGAGTTGTAGTACAGCAACATCTGAAGGGCCAAAGGTTCTGCACCACGGCTTTAAAGTGACACAAAACTCTGCTGGTTTTGCTGCAACAACAGAGTACTATGGCTATCCCTCTGGAGACGGTAAAAATAAGATGCTGTCCATATGGTGCCAGAATTATTCAGGCAACATTTCCTGCCCTCTTTCTTGATTTTCTTCAGTGTTTCCCTTTGTTCACTGCTTATTAGACAGCAACTCCCACACCTGCTTTAAAGGCCAAGGCATTTAATTATGGCACAAGCCATTATGGCACTTGAACTCAATTCATCACAAAAGCTTCTGCCATAATAACATGTGTTAAGTCCTTAAAGTGCCAAATGAGAGACTCGAATTGCCACTTCATGTGCAATTTACTATGGCCCACTGGGATCTTGTTTCCTATGAAAAGCAACATAGAACATAGATAGATAAAGAGCAGGCATAGGCAAACTCGGTTCTCCAGATGTTTTTCAGACTACAATTCCCATCATCCCTGACAACTGGTCCTGTTAGCTAGGGATGATGGGAGTTGTAGTCCCAAAACATCTGGAGGGCTGAGTTTGCCTATGCCTGATACTTTATAGAGATATACAGATATACAGTAGATGATAAAGACAGCATATGTGTTCTAGGCAGTATTTAGTACAGTGGTACCTCGGGTTAAGTACTTAATTTGTTCTGGAGGTCCGTACTTAACCTGAAACTGTTCTTAACCTGAAGCACCACTTTAGCTAATGGGGCCTCCTGCTGCTGCCGCACCGGCGGAGCCCGGTTTCTGTTCTCATCCTGAAGCAAAGTTCTTAACCTGAAGCAATATTTCTGGGTTAGCAGAGTCTGTAACCTGAAGCGTATGTAACCTGACGCGTATGTAACCCGAGGTACCACTGTACTAAAATTTAAATACCTCACCCTTCATTAATAACAGCTTACAATGAAAACTAGATATTATGAACAGGGCAAACACAATATTGAAATAACCACACACAAGTCTAAACTGAAGAGAGGGCGTGTCAGTTTCCCAGGGTGGACACAGGGACGATTTGCTGCAGATAGCTTTGTCTCAAAGCAAGCTACTTATGTAACAAATAAGGATATTTCTGCAAAGTGGCTTACTTAAGGACAGAGATTTGTAGCCTCTCTTGTGTTTTTCCTCAGCAAAAAATAATAAAGTAAAAGTAGGCAAAGTATTGCATCAGCCGTGACCATCACTCTGAGGTTGACTACCCAAAGGGTTTAAATACATGCTCCAGCTGGTATAAAAACCCACAGGCTTTCAGCTACATTCTAAAGACATGGCACTTTGCTTTTTCCTGTACACAGAGTGGGTGCATTTTGCCAGAGCACCTGATCAAGTGGCAGTGTTAACTCCCTGACAAAGTCCGCAAATCGGGATTATGTTTGCAGCCTTTGACACCCTAGATACCTCAGCTGTCCTGCAGTAACCCTAGGTGGTGGTGTTTAAAGGGACTCCTTTTACTGCTGCAGCTAAAAGGAGAGACAGAAATTGACTTTGGTTCACATTTTAATACAAAGCTGCCTAGTTTGTACTTTCTGAAATAATATGTGAACTGGAACAGTTATCCTTCCAAATTCACATTTCTCCAAATTTTGTGATGCAGGTTTCAAACCACATAATGGGGACAAAACATTCATATGAGGAGAAAGTATGCATACATTTGTGGAAAAATAACATAGGAGATGCATTATATTAGAGAAATTTGCTTGCAAAAGGGTACAAATTTTTTTGGGGGGGGAATGTATACATGTTGTCTTCCCTTGCTAATGGACTGGATGAGAGCCAAGAAATGAAAGCTCATTCTAAATAAGACTGATGCATTGTCAGTGGGTGGTTTAGTTACAGGCTAAATTACAGTGAGAGGCCAGAAACCACTCAGGGACACCGTGGAGGGAGCAGAGAGTGAGTGTGGTGAGTGTGGCTAGCCTTCAGACACGATTGTGGGTATCCTTTCCTCTCCCATTCCAGGTCTCTCTCTCTCTCTCCACCCCTGAGCTCACCCAAATGACCAGTTAGCCATTTAGTCAGTTATTTTTGGACAGCGGAGAATGTGATTGTTCTGTTGTCTTTTAATCCTATGAAAACTGCTCTTGAGAATACTACACTTGATCTTAGCCAAAAGGCCGAGAAGCGATGAAAAACTGCTCTTGAGAATAAATACTCTGCCCGAGCCAGTTCAAAGTCTTAATCTGATCGCAGCAAGGACTATTTTTAACAGCTGTCTTCAGTTTCTGGTACTGATAACTGAGACTAAAGATGACTTTAAGTAAATACTTCTAAACAATTTCTGTCTGCAACAAATGCAAGACTTGAAAATTTTTTTGTTGAGACTAGGGATATATCTGGGCATAGCATTCTTTGCAAAAAAAAAAGGGGGGGAGAGCAAGCAAAACAATCAAGAAAGTCCCTTTCATGAAGCATGAGGGCAATCTTAAAATTTCATGTGATTATATTTTTGTAAGAAAGTGAAAGTATCCAGGTATGGCCTTCCCTAGAGCATACCACAGACAGGAGTGGCTCACAGGTTGGACTGAGCAGGTCATGTTTCATATCTAACAGAGAGAAAGGTCATGGGGCAATTTCTCTAGCCTCTTCTAACCAATCAGTGAATGGTGGTTGGAACA